TAGTTGCAAAGGGTTATGCTCAAGTTGAGGGAGTTGACTACAATGAGGTTTTTGCACCAGTGGTAAAGCATGTTTCTATACGTCTGTTGTTATCAGCTGTGGTTGATCAGGATATGGAGTTAGAGCAGTTGGATGTCAAAACTGCATTTCTACATGGTATTCTACATGAAAGAATCTACATGAGTCAACCAGAGGGTTTTGTGCAGAAAGGACAAGAAAACAAAGTGTGTTTATTGAAGAAATCTTTATACGGTTTAAAACAATCTCCAAGGGAATGGAATCACAGGTTTGATACATTCATGATTCAGCAAAAGTACAGAAGAAGTGGGTTTGATCCGTGTGTGTATCTCAAGGGCTCAAACATTGAAAACATGATATATCTTCTACTGTATGTTGATGATATGTTGGTGGCTTCTAAGAACAAGAAAGAGGTCAAGAGGTTAAAGGAGCTACTGAGTACAGAATTTGAGATGAAAGATTTGGGAGCAGCCAGAAGGATTCTAGGGATGGATGTCTACAGAGACAGAGTAAAGGGAACTCTAATCCTATCTCAGCAATCGTATTTACATCAGGTTTTGAAAACATTTGGGATGTGGGATTGCAGAGAGGTTCAAACGCCTATGGGTTCTCACTTCAAGCTACAAGCGTTAAGTGACAAACAAGAGCAGGAACAGGCAGAAGAGATGGAGCAAATACCTTATGCCAGTGCAGTAGGGAGCTTAATGTATGCAATGGTTGGCTCCAGGCCAGACCTTGCTTATGCCGTCGGTATGGTGAGCAGATACATGGGGAAACCTGGAAAAGATCACTGGTTAGCAGTTCAATGGATAATGAGATATCTAAAGGGAGCTTCAGGAACGAATTTGACCTTCTCAAAGGGTTCAGACTTCAAGGTTATAGGTTATTGTGACTCAGACTTCGCCACTGACTTGGATCGGAGGAGATCCATTACTGGTTTTGTATTCACGGTTGGAGGCAACACAGTGAGCTGGAGATCCTGCTTGCAGAAAGTTGTCGCCTTATCTACAACAGAAGCAGAATACATAGCTTTATCAGAAGCAAGCAGAGAGGCAGTGTGGTTAAAAGGAATTTGTGAAGATATGGGCTTTAAACAGGAAGCCGTGGAGATTCACTGTGACTCTCAAAGTGCTATCTATCTAGCAAAGAACAACATGTTCCATGAGAGGACTAAGCACATACAAACGAAGTACAACTACATCAGAGAAGTAATTGCAAAAGGTGAAGTAAAAGTTCTAAAGATCCACACTTCTGTGAATCCTGCGGACATGTTAACAAAACCGTTACCTGGAGAGAAATTCGGCGGATGCTTACAGACGCTGAAGGTGCTTGAAGCTTAAAGGCTTCAGCGAGGGTCGTCATCGCCGGTGATTGAGGAAGGTGACGGACCCAAAAGGCTGTTGTTGCAGGTTTGCTTAACAACATGAGTTTCTTCTAGGACTTGAAGAGACAAAGATAAAGGAAGCTTTCTAGTGAAAAAAAAAAGAAAGCTTAGGAAAGGCGATCTCGGTGAAGAGAGGTGAACGCCGATACCAGGATTGGAATCAATAGTCGGTGTCGGGAATCAGACAGTCAACGGGAATTAGGTTCAAGGTGGAGATTTGTGGACTTTGAATCCTAATTCAATTACTAAAGCAAGGTGGGCTTCGTTGTTAGACAAACCCAAAAGGAGATCAAGTGAAAGGAAGAAAAGCATTTGGGCCTTATTGATTTGCTGCAGGCCCAACCGCATAGTACAGGATAAGAAGGAGAGAGAAACGGACGTAACAAACTAATTCGTCATCTTCTTTGTTTCTTCTGATTCCTCCTTTGTTGTATCTCTGAGAAATCACTCTGTAACTCGAACAAAGTTCTTAGTGGATTCCAGGATCAATCCTGAAGAGAGATGTACCCGGTTTGGGGAACTCTATAAACTTGCGTCTTCATCTTCCTCTTCTTTCTATTTTCTGTTAAACACAAGGAGAAAAATCGAGTGAGTTGAGAGAGAGATTCAAGGTGTTGAATCAACGATCGATTGCGAGAGTATCAGCATCAGTTGCAACAACAATGTTGACATAACAATTAAATACTTCAGGTCACATACAAACTTCAACATCACATGTTACCTAGTTAAGAAAAATGTTATATAAAAGCAAGTTTTCTTACAACTGGAAGAATGTTAATTTTGTATGCATTAACGTAATAGTAAATCTATGTACTGTTTTAGTGTGTGTTCTGTGTCGTGTAAAAGGTGAGCAAGTGAGATAAATAGGTCAACAACTTTGAACTAGCACGTACGCTATACAATTGAGTAGAAACAAGGAGAAGAAACCTTTTAAGAAAACCCAAAAAGAAAAGGGACTTGACCGCAATTGGCTGACTCTACATTTACACCTCGCGACCCCGAACCGGTTTTGGCGCTCTTTTGTCTTTTACCACATTCATCATATATGGTTGCTTTCTTTGACCGTCATAAAAGAGTATTTATTTTATTAACGTACAGTAGTGCTATTAATTGAATATATGAATAAGATGTCTGGACCACTGAAATCAACTACTCATACGGTATTTTATTCATATTGGCTTTGCACTATCATAATCGTAATCATATTACTTAAAGTTGTGTAATATGCAGCTACATGCTTTGTGTCCCACGCCGCGTACTCTCACCAAACTCGAATGTTAGAGATTTGATTAATTGACCAGTGTGAAATTCTATAATTTAAAGATCGAGAAATTAGCCCCACAAGGCTACACGGACCGATATTTCTTCTACACGTTTTCGTTTACTAGTTACAATGTTTATGATCTATAATGGTTTCACGATCTTATATAAATAGAAACATAGATGAATAATTGTTATATACATCTATACTATAAAAGATGGCTAACTTTCTCCATATGAATGTGACTTCATCATTTTGGTTTATTGTAGAAATGTCATGTGTCATTTTTTAAAATTAAATAATATAAATTATGTAAAATATAGTTAATGCATAAATTTAATGTATTATTAATCATAATACTAAAAGAATATGAAAAATATAAAGAATTAGATAATATATTTTAATAACAATATATACATAACACCCAAAAACAATTATTGAATATCTATTTTGTGGTAGTTTTTAAAAATTATTAACAAAATTAATGTTTTATATTTAAGAGTGTTTTCTTATTTTTAATTAATATTATAAGATATTATTATAAAATCAATTGTACAAATATAAAAATAAAATTTATTTTATATTTTGAACCTTAAAAGTTAGAAGAAAAATTTATACAATATTATAATAAACATTAAAACAATTAATTTATAAAATAATAATTATTTGATAATTTATTTTATTCAGCTATATAAATTAGAATTATAAATCAATTATTTACGCTCATAAAAATATCAAACCACAGCATTCCTATTGTGTAAATCTACGCCGTGAACAAGTACGACATTAAAAAGAGTCGTCTATATCTATGTTGTGCTTGAAGAGTTTCTCTAATTAATTTTTGTTATATAGTACTTTTCTGATTTGCACTATATCTATTTAATATATTCTATATATAAAATATATAATATATTTCACATTTTCTTATCAATAAATCATTGATCATATATATGGTTAATATCCACATAATATATAAATATGTATTGTATATTTATTCAAATACAAATATCTTTTAAATTTTTTAAAATATATGATAAAATAAATTGTAACTACACTTTTTAATAAATTATATTGTTAAAAAAATCTGCACATCGCGCGGATACTCATCTAGTTAAAATTAAATTATTGTATAGAAGTAGAACAAAACACTATACGTTTTGTGTTACCGTCACAAATGAAATAAATGTAAAATACCACTTTTGCAATCATTTCTTGTGGATCTATAATTAGTAGTACAAATTAATGTAATCAGAACATAAATTATGAATATCTGCATAATCGATAGATTTTGTTATGTCTCGTCGGTAGTAAAATAAAAAATAAAAGTCTACTACTCTTCAAATATAATCAGCTCACAGCAGAATGATTCAACATGATTATTTTATTTCACAAATATATATATGTGTATTCCGTATTCTTAACATATTATTGAGATATTAACAAAAATTATTATTATACATACTGTATTAACTATCTTATCAGTTTGAAACGTTTCTTTCAGCAGAAAAAAGCGCAGACACCAAGAATATTTAATGCTGTTTATCCAAAGTAGAAACAGAACGAATCCGTTGACCGGTAAAAATATAAAAGTAAATGATTGGGCAAGAAAAATCTGAAATTGTGCATATAAGTTGGGAGGACAACAATCGACAATCGTATAACCAAAAAAATGACGCGTACAAAGATGCCACGTTACATACGTAAACAGTAACACCGTGCGTATATTACATATCTGATTGTAAGTTAATGAATATACCCCATGTAAACAACTCCTAACAAAGTTATCAAAATGTTCTTTATTAAGAAAAGTTATCAAAATGTTCTTTATTAAGAAAAGTTATCAAAATGTTTATAAGTTTTGGGTACGATTATACAATGAATAGTTATAGGACGACGTATTCAAAGATGCCTAGCACAGGTTCCATACGTAACGCCGTGCGTAAGTCTACTAACAGTGTTATAAAATTGTAGAAGATAACATTTACACCCAAAAAAAAAAAATGTAGAAGATACATAAGCTGCGAGTACGATTATCTAACTAAATACGACGACGTATTCAAAGATGCCCCACACGCTTGTGTAGTATCTACACTATGTTACATTGAAAATCAAAGAGCTCGTGTAGTTTGATTTTGTAGGTTTTAAATCCGAGGAAAACGTAAAACCTTTGAATTAAGACTCAAAGAAATATCTTCGCTGCGTATCCTAAGGTCCAATCCCAAATTTGTTCTCAAGAAAAATATATTAATTACGTCATTATTTATAGATCGATTTATATAAAACTATATATATATAGGCGACATATGGGCAAAGAAGCGACATTGCCAGAAACAATTTCTTCTTTTGTCTCTAAGCCTCTCTGTTTTTTTTTTTTTTCCTGCCGCCAAAAACAAAGACCAACATTCGAAGAAACTTCTCTGGATCGTAACAGTGTAAGTGTTTTCCTCAATCTTTGGATTTCAACCGAAGCCATTTACCTTTTCTTCATCTCTTGTCTGAATCATTTCTTTTAAAATTTTACAGTTAAACCTTAATGGCTCTGTCTTTTGGATACTTACAAAGAGACAACAGTTTCAAGAAAGACTCTAAAGAGTGTGAAACACCAAGAATTCTGAAAAGCCCAGTAAATATGTATCTGGAGAAGACTTTATCGTTCAAGGATTTGGTCGATCAGGGGAAGAATTACAGAGATGAAACTCTTGGGGTCAAAACGAGAAAAGGTATAAACTTAAAGGGTCCTAAGCCAGACAACATGATTCTTGAGAGGAGTCTCTCGTTCACGAGTCTAGTCCAGGTGGAGCACAGAGAAGAAGAAGAAGACGAAAGAGGATCCTCTCCGAAACGAAGGAACAGGGGTAAAATGGGAATTTTGGGGTGCTTAACGGCGTTAAGTGTACCACAACCAAAGCCGTTTTGGTCTCCGAGATCGTCGACAGAACTTGACGCTGCCGCCGTTACGTTGCAAAAGGTTTACAAAAGTTATCGAACGCGTAGAAATCTTGCTGACTGCGCAGTCGTTGTTGAAGAGTTATGGTACGTTAAGTTCTAATTATTATGAAAATGCAATTGGGATTATACTTGAGCAAAAAATATTATTAGAGAAAGTAATTTTAACAAGTTCATCTTTACACAAACCGGATATTCAAATGTGTGTGATTGGTTTAGGTGGAAAGAATTGGAATTAGCAACGTCAGAACCGAACCGAACCAATGAGAAACCGGAGACGGCTGTGTCAAGGTGGGCAAGAGCTGGAATCAAAGCAGCAAAGGTAAATTTAAAACGAATCTCAACAAATAAATAAGTCTGTTTTTTTTTAATATAGGGTCATACATTATCATAATTTGATAGTATTAAAATGTTTTTGTAGGTAGGGAAGGGATTGTTGAAAGATGATAAAGCCCAGAAACTAGCATTGCGACATTGGTTAGAAGCCGTAAGTTTCGGCTTTATTTATTTTACTTTTAGTATATGGAAATTACTTTGACTTATAATAATGTTTTGTTTATTTTTATTTGTGTATAGATTGATCCACGTCATAGGTACGGACATAATTTACACTTATACTATGATGTTTGGTCAGGAAGCGAGAGTACTCAGCCATTTTTCTTCTGGTAAATTTAAGGCAAACTTAAATCAAATTTAATTTCCATTTTCTCTCTAAATTATTTGAGCTGATTTCAAGTGGGAAACCTTTGAATGATGGTACCAAAGGTTAGACATTGGAGATGGCAAGGAAGTGAATCTCACCAAATGTCCAAGAACTCTTCTTCAACGCCAGTGCATCACTTACCTTGGTCCGGTACGTATATACACCATTGTTATTCGGTTAATTCCGGTTATCAAGAACCCAATCCGATTTTAATTCGGTTCAATTAACAGAAAGAGAGACAAGCGTACCAAGTGGTAGTGGAAGGAGGGAAACTAGTCAACCGACAAAACAAGAACCTCGTGGAGACCATCGAAGGAACCAAATGGATTTTCGTCTTGAGCACGACGAGAAAATTGTACATTGGTCAGAAACAAAAAGGTCGGTTTCAGCATTCGAGTTTTCTTTCAGGCGCCGCCATCACTGCCGCCGGTAGAATTGTCTCTCACGGTGGAGTTGTAGAAGCTGTGTGGCCGTACAGTGGTCATTATCTCCCGACGGAAGAGAATTTCCGTGAATTTATCGGTTTCTTAAAAGATAACAAAGTTGATCTCACTAACGTCAAGGTGATTAAGATAACTATATATAGATTTCATCAAATTTAACTTTACTATAAATTATTGATGGTTAGTTTTGTTTTTCAGCTCAATGCCATTGACGACGATAATCATATGGTCTCTAACGACGGAAGCACTAAGCCGTCAAAATCTGACGGTCGTGATGAAATTAAGACCGTCGCGGTTGATCCTACGGTAAAGAGTTTACCGGAACGAAAACGTTTTTCGTGCAAGTGGAGTACTGGAAATGGGCCTAGGATTGGCTGTGTGCGGGACTACCCTATGGATCTGCAGACGCGGGCGCTTGAGCAAGTCAACCTTTCTCCTCGTGTGGTCAACGGAACGATGGGTTTATTTGGCCCAATACCTTCGCCAAGACCAAGCCCAAAGATTCGAGTCTCTCCTAGGCTATCTTGCATGGGACTTCCAAGTCCGAGGAACTAATTTTTCCTTCTTTTTTTTGGCTAATCAGATCATTTTGAGATCTTTTGAGTATTCTTTTTTTTTGTTTTAACTCCCTTAATTCTTTGAAAGAGTACGACTTGTACTCATTTCTGTTTTTAAATAATTTATTTCTACTTTTTTTTGAGGTGTATAACCTTGTACTATTTACTTTGTAACTTTACACATCAATACCGTGGTTCTTTTTATAAAAATATTTAGATTAAAGGTAACGATTTTCTCGTGTAAGTAACGGTTACACATTAAAAAATTATAAAACCATACATGTTCCGGTTAGATTATTTGCTCCTCGGAAACAGCTGTTTATTTCGACCGACCACAGTTACAATTATTTTAAAATCTCCTCGTACCACGTATGATTAGAATTTAGACAATAAAGTCAAAATACGGAGGAAACAAAACGAGCCACGTGCGTATTACGTTTAGTGTTGAGGTGGTGTTGACTCGTTTGATGGATGGAAGAAAGTCACGTGACAAACGATCTTTACCGCTCACCAACGGCACGCGTAGCTCTCACGCTTGGTGACCCATTTCTCTCTCGTAGCCAATCCCACTCTTTATTTTTAAAAGTGCTTTTCTTACTCTACGCGTGTTGTACGTTCAAAATACCGGAATAAACCGTAAAATCAAATAAACCGATATGGATCATTTGTAACTAATATGAGTTTAAAATTCAAAATGGTGATATCCCATGTTTACTCATTTGATTTTTAAGTACTAAATGAGCAATATATAGTATTGGGTTTTTTAATGATCGTAGCCGGTGGTTAGTGGAGCATCGTTAACCGGGTTTTCGGTTAAAACTAACCGGGATATTTGGAACCGTGCAGCTGAGAATAATTTACCCCTTGGCAAGGAAAGAGAAGAGAAAAAGAAAAGGAAAAGACCCAAACTTTGAGAAAAACACCTTCATTCTCTTCTCATTCTCTCCTTTAATCCTCATTTTTCAATTCGCGTGAAGAGAGAGAGAGAGAGAGAGAGAGAGAGAGACAGAGAGAGAGAGAGAGAGAGAGAGAGAGAGAAAAAAACTTCCTTTTATCCTCATTTTGTTTCAAATCGCGAGGAGGAGTGGGAGGAACGAAGGTGACTATTGGGGATTTCTGTTCTTCCCTTTTGCAGCTTTTAATTTCGCAAAATTTGGATCTTTCCTAATTTCTTTTCGGGTGATATATTCTGGGTTTGCGCTCTTGATCCGTTGGATTAAAGGGTTTTCTGAGGGCATCATTTTTTTTTTGGGTTCTTTTCTCTTTCTGAAAGAGTACATTTCCCCTTTTGAGCCGGCGTTGGGGTTGTGATTGTTGTAGTTAGGGGTTTTGGAATCTGAATCGCAGATTATCAATGGAGACTCGTGTCGGAAACAAATTTCGTATGGGCCGAAAAATCGGAAGCGGTTCTTTCGGAGAGATCTATCTCGGTTCGTTTTTTTTACTCAATTGATTCATTTGCTGTTCAATATGTTCTTGAGATTTTCTGGGTTTGCAAACAGAGCTATTCTGAATCCCTAACATTGTCATTGGATTGTGGTTTCTGTAGGTACTAATATCCAAACGAATGAAGAAGTCGCAATCAAGCTTGTAGGTTCTTGCTAATTATATATTTCTGGTGTCGTTGGCATTATCATGTGAAGATTTTAATTGCAGATAGAGACAATGTTTGTTGTTTACTATAAAAAGTACATTGGCTAGAGCTTAGAAACATTTATTAAGTTACTTAAATTTGATCATCATTGAAGATAATGTGGTGCAAAAGTCTAATCTTCACTTTTTTTTGGATAATGTATATCGATTAGTGTAATCTTATTCTTTTTTCAGGTTGTTTTGTTATTGGCTTATTGCTAGAAGCAGCATTTTTGATTAACTACCGAGTGTTATGTCTTCTCTTTTTTGCAGGAAAGTGTGAAGACAAAACATCCGCAGCTGCTCTATGAATCGAAGTTATACAGAATTCTACAGGGAGGAAGTAAAAATTCACTTCTTATAAACGATCTGTTATCTTTGTATGCTTTTTCTTTCACCATGTGCTTAATCTAATATGAACCTTTTGATGGCAGCTGGTGTTCCAAATGTGAAGTGGTTTGGCGTTGAAGGTGACTACAATGTTCTGGTGATGGATTTACTCGGGCCTAGCCTTGAAGACTTGTTCAACTTCTGTAGCAGGAAACTTTCCTTGAAGTCGGTCCTCATGCTTGCAGATCAAATGGTAGATATCTCATGTCTCTGTGTGACTCCTATTCCACAGGCTTGTCTAGTGATTGACTCAAATCTTTTACTTCCTTTTACATTAAGATAAACCGTGTTGAGTTTTGCCACTCGAAGTCTTTCCTTCACAGAGATCTCAAGCCAGACAATTTCCTCATGGGGTTAGGAAGACGCGCGAACCAGGTTTGCTTCACTCTATATGTTTGATCTTACTCTCATTTTACCTTTTTGATGTTATTATCTCGAAAGTGAATCTTTTTTTTCAAATTTGCTTCTAAAGGTATACATCATCGACTTTGGTCTTGCTAAGAAGTACCGGGATAACACTACACATCAGCACATTCCTTACAGGTGACACAATCAAATCGAGTTGTATAATCAGTCTGCGTTTCTTTCTTCTTCATACTTATGATTCTTAATTCGCTCGTCATTTCATATTCTTTAGAGAAAACAAGAATCTCACTGGAACTGCAAGATATGCTAGTATGAACACTCACTTGGGAATTGGTAAGTTTTGACAATATTTTCGCTTTAGATTTCTCGTGTTGTAATGCCAACGGGATGATCTGCAGACACTGTTCTTATATCAATTACTTTTCTTCTTCTTTCATGTAGAACAAAGCCGACGGGATGATCTGGAATCTCTTGGTTACATTCTCATGTATTTCCTTAAAGGAAGGTGAGTGAGTATTGTTTACCTACATAAGATGCCTCGTTGTTTCACTTTTGTTCTTCGAATTCCTTATTATTAGAATGTTTTTAGTCTTCCATGGCAAGGACTTAAAGCTGGAACCAAGAAACAAAAGTATGAGAGAATTAGCGAAAAGAAAGTATCTACATCAATTGAGGTAAAGTCTCATTCACAAAGTTTGATCCTTTAGCTTCTACTTTTTGTTTTTGTGTTCCTCAACAATTTTGCCTTTCTTCGTGCAGTCCTTATGCCGTGGTTACCCGTCCGAATTCGCATCTTATTTTCACTACTGCCGGTCGCTTCGGTTTGATGATAAACCAGATTACGGTTATCTCAAAAGAATATATCGGGATCTCTTCATCCGCGAAGGTTTTTGTCCAAAAGCTTTCATCTTTCACACTCAAACACGCATGATTCTTTCACACTTTCTTACATTGTCATTACTCGCAGGGTTCCAATTCGATTACGTCTTTGACTGGACAATATTGAAGTATCAACAGTCTCAGCTAACGGCTCCTCCTTCCCGTGGCCTCGTAACTCCTGCGGCTGGAACCAGCTCCGGTTTGCCTCCAGGATTGACCAGCAGCGATAGATACGCAGGTGAGGTTTTCAAACCGGGAAAGTACTTTCGTCAATCTAATGTCTAAAGATTTTGGAAAGTCTAAAGCTTTGTTTGAAATTGTGTCTTGAAGGCGAGGAAGACGGAGGGAGACCACCGATGGATTCATCAAGAAGGAGAAGCTCAGGAGCTCTTGAGAACTCTGGGAACATACCAGCAGCGCCTATCAAAGCCCCAATGGTATGAAAAAATTTGCTCTGTTTTCTTGTTTTGCTCTCTCTCTCTCTCTCTCTCTCTCTCTCTCTCTCTCTCTCTCTCTCTCTCTCTCTCTCTCTCTCTCTCTACGCCAACAGAAAGCTACAGACTTTTAGCAATATACTAAATACGACTAATATAAGTCCACCATTTTTCTTCTTTAAGTTAATAATCCTCCCACCCACAGAAAAAAGGAAAATACAAAATACTTAAAATTGCAGTTTCAGTCAAAAAAAGAAAGAAGTCTTTTTACTTATTTTATATGAAAAGGCTTCATAAATGACCAACATTCGAAACCAAATGTTGGTTTAAGTATTTAGAACTTTCAAATGCAACCAAAAGCAAGCCTCGGGTTTCAAAGGGGAAAATGATTCTTGACGTATGATTTTTATGTGACGGGGTTCTAATTTTTCTAATTAGTAAATATTAATTTAAAAAGAAATCTTATTGTTGCGAGAAAGTAAAATTGTTTTTTCCCCTTTGTTCACAGCCAAGCTCGTCGATGTTTGCACAATCGGGAGGATCATCAAGGAGAGTACCGTCGTCGGAGGAGCTACAGAGATGCCGTACCGGCGGCGTATTAAGAAACTCTCCGGTGGTTTCAACGCCGGAAGGGAAGAGATCTTCTTCCACCAGAAAACATTACGATTCTGCGATCAAAGGCATCGAGACTCTCCAAGTCTCCGACGAAAGGTTTCACCATTGATCCATCGGCCAGATAAACGATGTCGTATTCTGTTCAGAGGTTAATTAAAAGCTTCGACTCTATTATATTGGAGAAACGAGAAAATTTGCTGATTTTTTTGTTCATTTTAATTTTGCTTTTAATCTTTTCTAATTTGTACCGTGTCGGTTTTCGTTTGTTTTTTACTACGAAGAAGAGTTAAATTCAGTGTCTGGAATTGGAATCATCGTACTGTATATTCGTATATAAATATATTTTTTTACTCTACGCGTGTTGTACGTTCAAATAAACCGTAAAATGATAAAATCATAGTAACCGATATGGATTATTTACACCTAATTAAATATGAGTTGAAAATTCAAAATAGTGTATCCTATATTTACTCATTTGATTGAAGTTCTAAATGAACAATAGTATTAGGTTTTCACCTTTTTACCATAACGTATCGTCCAATATTAGAAATGATTGTAGCCTATGGTTAGTGGAGCATTGATAACCGGGTTTTCGGTTAAAACGAACCGGAATGTATGGAACCGCGCAGCTGAGAATAATTTTACCCTTCGCAAGGAAAGAGAAGAGAAGAAGAAAAAGGAAAAGACCCAAACGAGAAACACCTTCATTCTCTTCTCATCAAAGCTTCCTTTTATCCTCAGTTTTCAATTCGCGTGAAGAGAGACGGAGAAAGAGAAAGAGAGAGAAAGCTTCCTTTTATCCTCATTTTGTTCCAAATCGCGAGGAGGAGTGGGAAGAACGAAGATGACTATTGGATTTTTCTGTTTTTCCCTGTTGCAGCTCTAATTTTGCAAAAAATTGGATCTTTCTAAATTTCTTTTCGGGTGATATATTCTGGGTTTGCGCTATTGATCCAGTGGATTAAAGGGTTTTTTTTTAGGGCACCAATTTTTTTTTCTGGAAGAGTAAAATTCCCCTTTTGAGCCGGCGTTGGGGTTGTGATTGTTGTAGTTAGGGGTTTTGGAATCAGAATCGCAGATTATCAATGGAGACTCGTGTTGGAAACAAATTTCGTATGGGCCGAAAAATCGGAAGCGGTTCTTTTGGAGAGATTTATCTCGGTTCGTTTTTTTACTCAATTGCTGTTCAATATGTTCTTGAGATTCTCCGGGTTTGAAATCAGAGCTATTCTAAATCCCTAACATTGTCATTGGATTGTGGTTTCTGTAGGTACTAATATTCAAACGAATGAAGAAGTCGCAATCAAGCTTGTAAGTTCTTGCTGCTGCTAATTATATATTTCTGGTGTCGTTGGCATTATCATGGGAAGATTTTAATTGCAGATAGAGGCAATGCTTGTTGTTTACTATAAAAAGGGACATTGGCTTGAGCTTGTAAACATTTATTAAGTTACTTGAATTAGATCAAATTTGAAGATAATGTAGTATAAAAGTCTAATCTTCGCTTCTTTCATATTTGCGGATAATGTATGTCGATTTAGTATGATTTTATTCTTTTCAAAGGTTTATTAGTTATTGCTAGAAGCATTTTGATTAACTACCGAGTTGCTTTGTATTCTCCTATTTGCAGGAAAATGTGAAAACGAAACATCCACAGCTTCTCTATGAGTCGAAGTTATACAGAATTCTGCAGGGAGGAAGTATAAAATCCGTTTCTTTTAAACAATCTCGTGTCTCTCTGTTTTTTTTGTTTTTTGTTTTGCTTTTTCTTTCATCATGTGCTTAATCTATTATGAACCTTTAAAAATGGCAGCTGGTGTTCCAAATGTGAAGTGGTTTGGTGTTGAAGGTGACTACAATGTTCTGGTGATGGATTTGCTGGGACCCAGTCTTGAAGACTTGTTCAATTTCTGTAGCAGGAAACTTTCCTTGAAGTCGGTCCTCATGCTCGCAGATCAAATGGTTGGGGTCTCTCTTGTCTCAACGTGACTACTATTCCATAGCCCATAGGCTTGTTTAGTGATTGACTCGACTCTTTTACTTCCTTTTACATTCAGATAAACCGTGTTGAGTATTTCCACTCGAAGTCTTTCCTTCACCGAGATCTCAAGCCAGATAATTTCCTCATGGGGTTAGGAAGACGCGCGAACCAGGTTTGCTTCACCCTATATGTTTGATTTTGCTCTCATTTCACCTTTTTGATGTTATTATCTTGAAAACGACTCTTCTTTTTCAAATTTGCTTCTAAAGGTATACATCATCGACTTTGGTCTTGCTAAGAAGTACCGGGATAACACTACACATCAGCACATTCCCTACAGGTGAGACAATCAAATTGTAATCCGTCTACGTTTCTTCTTCATACACTTTATAATTCCTAAATTCACACCGTCATTACCTATACTTTAGGGAAAATAAGAATCTCACTGGAACTGCAAGATATGCTAGTATGAACACTCACTTGGGAATTGGTAAGTTTGAGAAAACCCGCTTTAGTTTTTTCCCTGTTATAAATTTCATGCAGACACTGTTCTTGTATCAATACTTTTCTTCTTCTTTCATGTAGAACAAAGCCGACGAGATGATCTAGAATCTCTTGGTTACATTCTCATGTATTTCCTTAAAGGAAGGTGAGTGAGTATTGTTTACCTACATAAGATGCCTCGTTGTTTCACTTTTGTTCTTCCAATTCCTTATTAGAGTATTTTTTATAGTCTTCCATGGCAAGGACTTAAAGCTGGAACCAAGAAACAAAAGTATGAGAGAATTAGCGAAAAGAAAGTATCTACATCAATTGAGGTAAAGTCTCATTCACAAAGTTTGATCCTTTAGCTTCTACTTTTTGTTTTTGTGTTCCTTAACAATTTGCTCATCTTCCTGCAGTCCTTATGCCGTGGTTACCCATCCGAATTCGCATCCTACTTTCACTACTGCCGGTCGCTTCGGTTTGATGATAAACCAGACTACGGTTATCTCAAAAGAATATATCGGGATCTCTTCATCCGCGAAGGTTTTTGTCCAAAAGCATTCATCTTTCACACTCAAACACGCATGTTTCTTTTCCCAAGGCCGCAATTTCTTAAATTTTTATTATTCGCAGGGTTCCAATTCGATTACGTCTTTGACTGGACAATATTGAAGTATCAACAGTCTCAGCTAACCGCTCCTCCTTCCCGTGGCCTTGTAACTCCTGCGGCTGGAACCAGCTCCGGTTTGCCTCCAGGATTGACCAGCAGCGATAGATACGCAGGTGAGGATTTTTAAACCGGGAAAGTACTTTGATCAATCTAATGTCTAAAGCTTTTGGAAAATTTAAAGCTTTGTCTGGTTGTGTCTTGAAGTGGAGGAAGACGGAGGGAGACCACCGATGGATTCATCAAGAAGGAGAACGTCAGGAGCTCCTCTTGAGAACTCTGGGAACATAACAGCAGCGCCTATCAAAGCCCCGATGGTATGACAAAGCTTCATTAATCCTCAGCATTCGAAATCGAACTTAAATGTATTTAGAACTTTTAAATGCAACAAAAGCAACCAAAGAAAGTCTCGGCTTTCAAAAGGGAAAATGAGTTTTGAAAGAAAAAAACCCGAAAATGAACTTAAAAGATCTGATATTTTTGTTGAGAGAGGAAATATCTTTTTTAAGAAATCACTTCAAAACCAGTTGTATCTGTTCTTGTCATTTTTTGGTGTATGATTTTGTGATGGGGTTCTAAATTTTTTTTAAAGTATATTGTGATTCTTGCGAGTAAGTAATTTATTTTTTCCCCTTTGTTCACAGATGCCAAGCTCGTCGATGTTTGCACAATCGGCAGGATCATCAAGGAGAGTACCGTCGTCGGAGGAGCTACAGAGATGCCGTACAGGCGGCGTATTAAGAAACTCTCCGGTGGTTTCAACGTCGGAAGGGAAGAGATCTTCCTCCACCAGAAAACATTACGATTCTGCGATCAAAGGCATCGAGACTCTCCAAGTCTCCGACGAAAGGTTTCATCACCATTGATCCATCGGTCAGGGAAAACGTTGCCGTATTCTGTCCAGAGGTTAACTAAAAGCTTTCGACTCTATATTGGAGAAACGAGAAAATTTGCTAATTTTTTTGTTCATTTTAATTTTGCTTTACATCTTTTCTAAATTTTCTTGTCGATTTTCGTTTTGTTTTACTACGAAGGAGGGGAACTAAATTCAGTGTTTGGAATTGGAATCATCGTATATATATTTGAGTTATAGCTTTTCAGCATAGTGAAAATGTATTTTTTCATCAAGTACTAGTCATATTTTGTTTTTCATCTTAAATTTCCATCTAATAATAGGCCATCAAATTCAAATCTATCCAAAGCAAAGTTAACTTATTCTTAAATTAATAGTAACAGCAACAATAACTTTATTTGACTAGTTAGCTGACAATGCTGAAACTATACATAGAAAATACTACAATTGAGTGGTGTGATTCTCTCAAGTCTCAACTATCAATCATAGACAAATCATAACATTAATGAAAAGAAATTTTACTACATAGAGTGAAAGTTCGGGGTTAAATAAAATTAATAAGGAATTTAGAGGGTGCAAAATGCAATACGCTTGAAGTATAAGATTTTATCCGGCCATAACTTCATATCTCACGCCCTTTGTCTTTCCTTATTCTTCTCCTCTCAGAAGAGTTTACTCCGTTCTGGAACCCTAATCTCGTTGATTTCGAATCTGGATACAGTCGAATCCGAGAAATCGTTCCAGAGATCTGATACTTCTCTCTTCAAAGATCTGACATCGGTGAGAATCTGCGGAGTCTTCTGCTCGTAGCAAAATCGGTGTCTCTTAAATCTTCAGCTTTTTTTTTCTTTTCCGTTTGATCTTAATATCATACGATCTGATCGGTCCCTGGTCTAATTACTGGATTCACAAGTAACCCAAGGAGCTGAAATTTTGACATGTCTTTGTTAGATTCAATTTGTGGTTTGATTGTAAAGCTCGATCTCGGCGCGATTCAGCATGTTATACATATGGATGTGATATTTGGAGCTAGTTTATAGAAATGCATTGGCGATTTTCGCTTGATGTTTGCTTTAGCAGCTTTAATAAGCTTTTGTTTCGTTAGTATTCCCGAACTTAGCTGTTTAAGTACTGTGAATTTGTAGGAGATGGCAGACAACAATTCACCACCAGAGAAAGCAGATCAGATCGTTGAGGCAAACCCATTAGTCAAGGACGATACTTCACTGGAGACCATAGTTCGAAGGTTTCAGGATTCAATGTCAGAGGCCAAGACGCACAAGTTCTGGGAGACTCAGCCCGTTGGGCAGTTCAAGGACATCGGGGACACGAGCTTGCCTGAAGGCCCGATCGAGCCGGCGACTCCGTTATCCGAGGTGAAGCAGGAGCCTTACAACCTTCCTTCTGTCTACGAGTGGACGACATGCGACATGAACTCTGATGATATGTGCTCTGAGGTGTACAACCTTCTCAAGAACAACTACGTTGAAGACGACGAGAACATGTTCAGGTTCAACTACTCCAAGGAGTTTCTAAGGTGGGCGCTGCGTCCACCTGGCTATTACCAGAGCTGGCATATCGGAGTCCGTGCCAAGACCTCGAAGAAACTCGTCGCTTTCATCAGCGGCGTGCCCGCGAGAATCAGGGTTCGCGACGAGGTTGTTAAAATGGCGGAGATCAATTTCTTGTGCGTTCACAAGAAGCTCAGATCCAAGAGGCTTGCTCCCGTCATGATCAAGGAAGTGACTAGGAGGGTTCACTTGGAGAATATCTGGCAAGCGGCTTATACCGCAGGTGTTATACTGCCCACACCAATCACCACTTGCCAGTATTGGCACAGGTCACTCAACCCGAAGAAGCTCATCGATGTTGGGTTCTCAAGGCTTGGTGCAAGGATGACGATGAGCAGAACCATCAAACTCTACAAGCTACCTGATGCACCGGTCACTCCTGGGTTCAGGAAAATGGAACCGCGCGATGTCCCCGCTGTTACCCGGTTGCTGAGGAACTACCTCGGCCAGTTTGGTGTCGCGACTGATTTCGATGAGAACGACGTCGAGCACTGGCTCCTCCCGAGAGAGGATGTGGTGGACAGTTACTTGGTGGAGAGCCCTGAAACTCACGATGTCACGGATTTCTGCAGTTTCTACACGCTTCCTTCGACGATCCTCGGGAACCCAAACTACACGACATTGAAAGCTGCTTATTCCTACTACAATGTCGCAACGGAGACCTCGTTTCTTCAGCTGATGAACGACGCTCTGATCGTCTCTAAGCAAAAGGGTTTCGACGTGTTCAATGCTTTGGATGTGATGCACAACGAGAGTTTCTTGAAAGAGTTGAAGTTTGGTCCAGGAGATGGTCAGCTACACTACTATCTCTACAATTACCGTTTGAGAAGCGCGTTGAAGCCATCGGAACTTGGGCTTGTTCTCTTATAAGCTCGTCAATAACTTGCTTTGATGGTATTAGCTTTGGTATCAACAAACTTGAAAGTTCCTTTTTTTTTTTCTTCTTCTTCATCTGAACTACCTCTCCCATGGTGGGTTATTGAAACTGAGTTTAATTCTTTTGGCAATGCGATTTTGAACTTTCTTGAAGTGTGATTTTGTTAATTGTGTTACTTTGTTACTTTGTTACTGTGTGCGCCTAGAGGTAAGGAGAGAGTTGACCCTAGTAAGTAATGTCAACGCACATGTACTGATGACAGTTGTAGCTCTTATGATGATGATACCTCCTCTATTATATATATTGGGTGTGAGTTTCAATGGACTGTGTTTTAGGCCCTACAATTGCTTCGGGCCTACAATTGCTTCGGCCCATATAGCATTAACGTCATTTCGCATTGCCTTAAATCTTGATTATTTAGTGATGTACGATTAGTACTTTAATCGCACTTGGAAGTAAAAACAAAAACCGGATAACAACAAAAGAACTCGAGAACCCCTAAACAGAGGCAATAAATGAGGCAGCGGATTATGTATTTGTTTTTACTTTTGCATCCAATAAAAGTTAGGAATGATATGCCTGATAAAATTTATGTGAAGAATGATGTTCCAAATGTTTTTTTATATTAAAAAAGATTATGTAATGGACTTCGGTATAGCTCGATTTCTGTATCGTTTAAGCTAAAAATTCAAAAAAGCAATTTAATTCGACTCTCGTGGTGTTAAATTGTTAATTGATAAGTACAGTATATCATTATAATCTGGTACAGAATACAAGCCCATTATAAAGCCCATAAGATATTTTTAACAAAGTAGGCACAAGTACAACAACAACACGTTGTGTTGTCCGGCCTTTTTAGCATCAGAGTATGTTTGAATTGCACAAAGCCACTCGAAGCTCTACACGTGTCTTTATAGACGAAGGACGTTTAACGACCTTGTTCATTACTTTTAACCAATGATAGAATTAAACGTGGCGAATAGAGTCCCATCGTAGCCGTGGTTCTATCCTCCTTATCGTCCTCTCGTCCTTTCCCAGTCATTGTGGAAAAAAAAAATTTATTGAGAAAACAAAAAAGAAAAATATTACGAAGGAAAAGTCAGATTCCTCTTTCTACTAAACCTCGATAGAACAGCAACAATGGTGTGAGAGAGAGAGATTTACTTCTTTTGCGTTGAAGATTCGATTTTTTCGTTTACTGAGGAGGTTATGGAGTGTGTTGGCGCTCGGAATTTCGCTGCAATGGCGGTCACAGCTTTTCCGTCTTGGGGTTCCCGAAGGAAATTTCCGGTGGTTAAGAGATACAACTTTAGAAATTTCCGGTGCGGTTTGTGCAGAGTGAGGGCTAGCGGCGGCGGAGCAGGCTCCGGTAGCGAGAGCTGCGTGGCGGTGAGGGAGGATTTCGCCGACGAGGAAGATTTCGTGAAGGCCGGTGGCTCAGAGATTCTGTTCGTTCAAATGCAGCAGAACAAAGACATGGATGAACAGTCTAAGCTCGTTGATAAGGTCAGTCCGATGTTTTGCTGCCTTGACTTGTTTACGAAGAAAACAACAAACGTTTTCTCGTATTGAATTGTTCTTACATTGCTTGAGCAAAAGGAAATTTTTTTGAATTCATATTTGGGTTTTGAAGCTTATATATATTGATTTTTGTGTTTGTGTTTGTGTTTGTAACAGTTACGTCCTATATCAATTGGTGATGGTGCTTTGGACCTAGTGGTTATTGGTTGTGGACCTGCTGGTTTAGCCTTAGCTGCAGAATCAGCTAAGCTTGGGCTTAAAGTTGGACTGATTGGTCCAGATCTTCCTTTCACTAACAACTACGGTGTTTGGGAAGATGAATTCAACGGTAAGAAAAAAAAGCTTCACTGATCCTGATCCATTATCTTCTAGTAGTTGTCACTATCTTTCATGGAAAAATGTAATGACAAGTTTGTGTTATTGTTTACTCTTTATTACAAAGATCTTGGGCTGCAAAAATGTATCGAGCATGTATGGAGAGATACTATTGTGTATCTCGACGATGACAATCCCATTACCATCGGCCGTGCTTATGGAAGAGTTAGTCGGCGTTTACTTCACGAGGAGCTCTTGAGGAGGTAATGAATGAATGGTTTCTACACTTTTGCTTTGGTTTGTTTCATTTCCTGGCTTTGGAACTGTTTTTAAAAAATACATAATCCGGTATTAATGTTTCCTTAGGTGTGTCGAGTCAGGTGTCTCGTACCTTAGCTCGAAAGTTGAGAGCATAACTGAAGCTTCTGATGGTCTTAGACTCGTTGCCTGTGGACAAAACACAGTCGTTCCCTGCAGGTCCGAGACTGGAGATCAGTGATGGTACTGTTCTATTTTTTTGGACCAATGTAAAAGGTTTCTGACTTGTGGAAAATGCAGGCTTGCCACTGTTGCTTCTGGAGCAGCTTCAGGGAAGCTCTTGCAGTACGAAGTTGGGGGACCTAGAGTCTCTGTGCAAACTGCATACGGTGTGGAGGTTGAGGTATAGTATTGAACAAGATGATAATTCTCCAATGTAATACCTTTTAGGTGGAATCATTTGTGACTGTACTGTTTGATCACTTTTAGGTGGAGAACAGTCCATATGATCCAGAGCAGATGGTTTTCATGGATTACAGAGATTACACAAACCAGAAAGTTCGGAGCTTAGAAGCTGAGTATCCAACGTTTCTGTACGCCATGCCTATGACAAAGACAAGAGTCTTCTTTGAGGTTCTCTCTCTCTCTCTCTCTCTCTGTTGTTTCTCTTCTTCTATATTATTAATCGTGATGATCGCAACAAAAAAGGCTGTTGCTAATCTCAGCTCAAATTCCCTGCAGGAGACGTGTTTGGCCTCTAAAGATGTAATGCCCTTTGATTTGCTAAAAAAGAAGCTCATGTTAAGATTAGATACACTCGGAATTCGAGTTCTAAAGACTTACGAAGAGGTAACTTATACATAGAAGAGAGTTTTCAACTCCACTTGTGTGAACAAGATTGAAACTTTTGCGTTTGCTTTTGTTTGCAGGAATGGTCTTATATCCCTGTTGGTGGTTCTTTGCCAAACACTGAACAAAAGAATCTTGCTTTTGGTGCTGCCGCTAGTATGGTACATCCCGCAACAGGTAATAGGAGGACGCTTTATGTTCTTGGCTATATTCATATCTTGAATCTTGTACCATCTCTGACTTAACTTTCTCTCATTTAAACAGGCTACTCAGTTGTAAGATCCTTGTCTGAAGCTCCAAAATACGCTTCGGTGATCGCGAATATACTGAAACAAGAGACTACTTCCTTCCCCAAACACATAAACAGTAACATTTCTAGACAAGGTGAGAGCTATGATTAGTTATCTGTGCTTTCAGAGGATGATAAACCTCCTAAGCTTTACTTGAAAGTCTCTATTTTTCTTTTGCAGCTTGGGATACTTTGTGGCCACCAGAAAGAAAACGGCAAAGAGCATTCTTTCTCTTTGGCCTTGCGCTCATACTTCAACTCGATATCGAAGGCATTAGAAGCTTCTTCCACACTTTCTTCCGCCTTCCAAAATGGTAAGCAAAGACATTGAGCACACTGATTCTTCATTTTACATAACAAAACAATGTTTGAAACAAGACACTGAACGTTTTCGTTTCACTTATGCAGGATGTGGCAAGGGTTTCTAGGATCAACGTTAACATCAGGAGACCTCGTTCTCTTTGCTTTCTACATGTTCGTCATTGCACCAAACAATCTGAGAAAAGGTCTCATTAATCATCTCGTCTCTGATCCAACAGGAGCAACCATGATTCGAACCTACCTCAGAGTATGAGTCTCTCCTCCGCTCTTGGGTTTGTATATAAATATATGAATAATGGATCGAAGAATGGTACGTCGGTTACTAGGAAAACTGGAAACACGTGTGTATAGATTCTAAGGGATGATGGAAAATGGAAAAGAGAAAAAAACACGCAGCCTTGTTTTGTGGTAAGTGGCTGAGAATTGAGAGAGAGAAAGACCTTATGAATAATGATAGTCTTGAATCTTGATTGTTCACTTAGTCATCAATTTCTAAAACATGAGTAGTGAACATTCTTATTGTCTACGGTTCTATAATGGTTAAATTATAACAATGATGATCGTAATGGTGGCTGCCAAAACACTTGAGCTGAACACAATTTATTATAAGTGGAGTCATGAAGCTCAAAGAAGTTAATTTTATGAATGGCATCCATTTATCACCAATGTATATAACATTTTTACTAAATCATTGAATTTTAATATTATAAGTAGGGACACAATTTATTATAAGTAGGGATGGAATTTTAATATTCAAACCGGAAACTGTGAATGTTGGGATATTGCAAGTGGGTTCGAGTGCCGTCTTGAATCATTTGTTTAGACGAAACAAATAACTGAGAACAAGTATATGTTCGTTGCATCACACATACAGAATCTTAGAACAAGCAATATATATTTATCTTAAATATATTAAGTAATCCGATGAAAACTATTTTCACCCTTTATAAGAATATTTAAATTCGCTATTTGCACATTTATTCAAAATGTATCCTATTATATCTTTGCTAATGTCAACCCATTACGAGAATACGGAACATTCTTTTTTTTTTAACAAATTCATTAATAGTCCTTGCATATGTATTTCGAAAATATCAATATTAAGCCTTCAAATTTTTTCTTTTACTTGGTGTGAGTGTGTAAGTGTAACTTTTCAATTTATTGGGTCTAATTTTGCTAAATCAAAAAGTGAAGTTACATATCATAGAACCTATAGATGTCATCTGAAGGTAATCCATCCCCACTAAAAAAAACATGTGATCCAATTAGTAATACTACAAAATGAAATTATATGTAGAGGAATCATCTACGATATCAAATAACAAAACTGTTGTGCCTAATCAACAAAAGAAAAAGAAAAAACGTAAATATCGTCAATATTAAGTAAATGCAAGCCCCATATATATAATATATTTCGAAAAAAAGACTTTTCTAATAAGTAGGCGCTTCATTATTTAATTGGCTTTCACTAGTCAATAAATACATCACCAGCTTTTCTGGTTTTTCCATCAAGTCAACTTACGCTTTCGCGGTCTCTCCCAAAACCCCATTTCATCTCTCTCCCTCTCCCTCTGTTGTGACCACACGAAAAAACAAAAATCGAGAAGGAAGATTGATGGTGGTGATGTCGAACAAATTCTTCGACTTGATCGGAGGAGCTCCTGCGTATTCTTCTGTATCCGTCGCCGTTAAAGGATCCGTCGGAGACGCCGTAGGAGGAGCCGCTAGCCGTCGCGCTCTCCGTTGGGCCGTCGAAACTCTCCTCCCCAGAATCGATCGGTTAGTTCTAGTTCACGTCATGCCTACCCTCACCAGTATCCCATCTCCTTGTAAGTCCATTTTTCCAATTTTTGTTTCTAATCCATTTCGCGATTTTCACGAGGTTTTTTTACAGTTAATTTGTTTGTTTTTTTTTGCAGCTGGGTCGAAGATTCCAGTGGAGGAATTGGAGGAGAGTGTTGTGTCGATGTACAAACGAGATTTGAGAAAGGAGTTCGAACAGGTCTTTGCTCCGTTTAAAAAGATCTGCAAATCCGATAAAGTGAGTTACTTTTCCGTAAAAAAAGCCAAATTCGAATTGGGTTTTTTTTTAAAGTTTGGGATAATGATAAATTTTTACTGGTGAATGTTTATTAGGTTGAGACTTTGTTGCTGGAACATCATGATCCTGCGAATGCGCTTTTGAAGTACATATCAGATTCTGAGGTCGAGTGTTTAGTGATTGGTTCTTGCACTTCAAATTTCCTCACAAGGTATTATTGTTTCCAAATGAGATTTGCGAAAATGTTTCTATTCAAGTTTGTTTGTATATATGGTCTGATCTTGTATATGGTTTTGCCAGGAGAAAAGGACAAGAAATGCCATTAACGGTGCTAGCAGAAGCTCCAGAGACATGTGAGATATATGTTGTTTGCAAAGACAGAATCTTAACCAAATCAACCAATCAGTTATCTGCAGGTATTATACCTATATATATACTACATCAGTCCCTTATTATTTCAATTTCAATGATCCTCTTGTGGTTTTATGATTTTGTTATGATATCTTTCAACAGATTCATCATCTAGTTTCCGTATACCGGAAGGAGCAGAAGCATATACAGAATCTTTCAGCCGCACACGCTCTGATAAGACAGGCTTGTCTGCTTCATCCGTGTCATCCTCAGGCAGGGAGCACATTCGAAGGCCTGCCTCTTTGCCGCATAGTCATACAACCTCTCGATTGTTTTCTGCTTCTTCCACTGATATCGGTTTGGCCAATGACGAACACATTCGTTCTATATTAAGACATAGTATTGTCTCCAGTAGTAAAAAAATCCAGTTGAATCCTGGACCTAACAAGAAAACACCAAGGGTAAAGCATTCGATTATCTAAACATTCTAAGCCCTCTGTTGCCTCTATTACACAGCAAAATGAATATGACTTCTGATCTCAAGAACTTGTTTTTGCAGTCAGATGTTAAGTCTGAGGTAGAGCAGCTAAGGAAAGAAGTGCAAACTACACTTTCAATGTACAAGCAAGCTTGTGAAGAGCTCGTTCATAAACAAACGCAGGTAAGGAGTTACTGTCAAGTCTTTTCCTCTTGTCTGTTTCATTTCATGGATTCATGAACTAAACCAAACCACATTGTGATCTCAGGTCCAGTCTCTTTCCTCCGAGTGTATTAAAGAAACGAAAAGGGTCATCACTGCTCTGGAAAAGGAAGAGTTGCTGAGAAAAGCAGCAGCAGAGGAGAAAGAAAAGCATCTAAAAGCCGTAAAAGAAGTCGAGGAAGCGAAAACAATGCTAGCGAAAGAGTTCTGCGAGAGGCAACTAGCCGAGCTAGATGCTCTCAAACAGTCGATAGAGAAACAGAAAGTCATTGAGCAGCTCTTCTTGAGAGACGGTCGCTACAGAAAGTACACAAAGGAAGAAATCTCCGCAGCCACAGATAATTTCTCTTCCCGTAAAATAATCGGCGAAGGAGGATACGGGAAAGTATACAAATGCAGCCTCGATCATACACCAGTAGCTCTCAAAGTTCTCAAACCAGATTCAATCGAAAAGAAAGAAGAGTTCTTGAAAGAGGTAAAATTACTAAGTACTGAAGTAATCTCAATTTTTCCAATAACAACAGCAGCCGTTAAAACTCTCTGAGATCTCTGAATCCACTTTGCAGATCTCAGTGTTGAGCCAGCTTCGTCATCCTCACGTGGTTCTTCTTCTCGGTGCTTGTCCCGAAAACGGATGTCTTGTCTATGAGTACATGGAGAACGGTAGCTTAGATGCTCACATCTCTCCCAAGAAAGGGAAACCATCACTCTCATGGTTCATCAGATTCAGAATCATCTACGAAACCGCTTGTGGCTTAGCCTTCCTCCACAACTCAAAGCCCGATCCAATCGTCCACCGTGACCTCAAGCCAGGCAACATTCTCTTGGACAGAAACTTCGTTAGCAAGATCGGCGACGTTGGACTCGCCAAACTCATGTCAGAAGAGGCACCAGACAGTGTCACGGTTTACAGAAACTCGATCATCGCCGGTACGCTCTACTACATGGACCCGGAATACCAAAGAACCGGGACGACCAGGCCGAAATCGGATCTCTACGCATTTGGAATCATAATTCTCCAGCTTTTAACCGCTCGACATCCCAACGGTCTTCTTTTCTGCGTGGAGGACGCAGTGAAGAGAGGCTGTTTTGGGGATATGTTGGATGGATCAGTCAGGGACTGGCCTATGAACGAAGCGAAAGAGCTAGCTCATATTGCAATCAAGTGTTCGCAGCTCAAATGCAGAGACAGACCAGATCTTGATACGCAAGTCTTGCCCGCTCTCAAACGGATTCTTGAATCTGCAAATAATAGACTCAAGACAGAACAGGCTAACGTACGAGCACCAACTCACTATTACTGTCCAATTCTCAAGGTAAATCTAGAGATGACCACAACGAACAACACAATTCTTAATGGTTTGGATTTTAAAGATGTTTTGATTGGGTTTGATTGCAGGAGATAATGGAAGATCCACAGATAGCAGCAGATGGATTCACGTACGAAGGAAAAGCGATAAAGGCTTGGATTCAGAAAAATCAAAATGTGTCACCTGTGACTAAGCATCGGCTCAAACATTCCGATCTCACGCCGAACCACGCTCTCAAATCGGCTATACAAGAGTGGCGATCTCGTTCACGCTTAGACCTCTCCACTACTCTTGGCTCCTTTTGATCAATGCCCCTATAGTCTAGTTTGTATATACTATTAAATACCCTGAAACTTGTTTGAATCGGGTGTATCATCACGTCTTTAACGAGTTTCCTACTTCTTTTAATTATTGTGGTAAAAATGATAAGTGAAAACGAGAACAATATTTAGAAACCTGTGGTTTCGGACTTTGTTTTCTTTTTGTTTGAGTAAAGGGAATAATATAAGCTAAAGTTAGGAGTTGTTTGGTTTTGATTGTAATGTTCTAAAAAAGCCAATAAACTGATGCTTTACTCACTTCGATGTTAAAAGCGTATATATATAACTTCAATAGTAGGATGCTTAATGGAATCGATCCAAAACACATAATTTGTAGGTAAGACTTGAACAGTATTAAGTATCTACAAACCTATATCCATCTACAAGAAGACACAAAAGAGAGAGAGACTCAAGAATCAAACTTGAGTAAACTCAAGAGCGTTTGCGTCTGGATCACGAGTGAATATCGCTGGCCTCCCTGACCTACTCATCGTATACTCAATCCCTACAAACCAAAAAAAAAGGATCTTTCTTTAGAACAAACAATTATAATCAAAAACAGCCTTTAAGCAAAGAACAAGAAAGAAGCAGCAACATGTTTGTATACCAGCTTGATCCAACACCTCTTTCAGGTTTGAAACATTACGGATTGCAATACAGGCGTGTCGATCCCGGCCTCCGTGCTCAGGTCTACCGGTTAATGGATCTGGATTTGGAAGCTCCATCAAATGAATCATCTCTGAACCTACCCATAACCATGCTCCTCTATACGGAAGCTTATCGTGTGGCCTTGCCTCGTTGATCTCAAGGCCTAGAATGTTCTGGTAAAACTCGAGTGACCGTTCTAGGTTTTCGCAGAGCAGACCAACATGATGAACCCCAACAACTCCATAATCTAGTAATAAGCAACCAAACCGGTTAAGGTCTAAGTTAATGGTAAAATTTGTTTAAGAGTGTTGCAATCAGAAGAACAACAATGCTTTAAACAAAACAGATGCTATTATTAGTTCTGTCACAATCCAAAAACGAAAAGCGTTTGCTTAGAAAGTTGTATCTAATCTAGAAATGCTGACTCCAATTCGTAATTGCAGACAATTAAAGCATATAGTATCTTATTATCAGTTGTAACTTTAATCTGAAAACGAAGAGGCGAAATCGTTTAATTACCGGTTATGTTGTTAAGCTCTTTCTCTTCTATCACACTAACCCCTTCAACTGATCCTTGTTGGGCTTTATTAGCCTTGAAGCCACATAACCTAAGATTGAGCCTTTCTTTTCTAAGACTCTTCTTCTGAAACTCAAACCGCTCTTTCGTAGAGAGATTCGTGCATGTCACCTTCCAAATACCAAAACGATTCATCATCAATTCAACGAAAATTATCGACTAATTTCTCTTCTCAACCTCTCAGTTTCAACATCTTGAAAAAACCAAAACAACAAAATCCCAAATTCTCAAATTTTAGGCTTAAGACCATCTCAATTTCTGGAAATCCAGTAACCTAATCTATGAGTGAGTGAAGAAGCTTAATTGTTACCTTTGGTCGTAGATCAAGTGAAACTGATGGTCTGAAGATAGACGCCATGTAAGAGAGATGTCTGTTTTTTGAGACTCAACACATGAGCAAGAGGTTCGTGTCTCTGCCAAAATAAAATCATGTTTTCGATTTGATTTTTCGTTTTTTTTTTGGTCAAGAAAATCAAGGGGACAAAAGAAAAACGTGAGCCACACAGAAGAGATCAAAGGTCTTAAGTTAATGAATTTAACAACTGTGTTGATTTTTATTCGGTCTGTTTTTGTCGACACATTATACAAAAAACAGTAATATTATCGGGTTTTTTTATTTCGTTGATCCACATTGATGGATGTGATTTAATTTCGTACCGTTTACACAAAAATCTGTCAATCATCACATGGGGAAATCAATTTCGTATTGTGTACCGAATTTAATTGTTTCAACAAAAAACAGAAAAATCAAACTTTTATTAAATCAAAAAAAAAAAAGATATTACTAAAAGCATGTGATGTGGTGGGCATTAAGTCAAACGTTTATTTAATAAAAGAAAAAAAGGTTGAAACGTTAGTTAGAGATATCATGGCCCAGGCCCAGTCCAGTTAGTAATTCACATCTTGCCTTTTTTAGCTTTCTCGAATTTTTAAGTCAATCTTTATTTTTAACTTAGTACTAAATTTCAAAATTGCTAGCACTTTCTCTTTTCTTATAAGGAATTTACATGTGTTATATTTCTTTAGAAAGATCAAAAGGTATCATCTACATTTTTATTCATATAGTTTATTATTAGTTTTTAATTTATATTATATTAACACGACACTGTTTTTTCTATATTTTTAGATGTTATGTGACCACAACTTTACACTGCATTTTTTTTTAGCAGATCCGTGTGGCAATTGATTATCTACAACTTTGTGACACATATACAATATGAATTGATGTTGTTCTTCTTTACCAAATTATATAACATGATATTGTATTTTTATATGCCAGATGCGAGCCTGCGAAAGACCCGAAAATATTTTGAATGGCCTTTTTGAAGTTGCATGAGTTATATATATCTACGTATATCCAAAAAAAAAAAAAAAATAGATAAAGATATGACTCATATCCATTAAAATGTGTTGTTTCATCAAACCATACAAAATGTAAATTTTATATTTATATATGTTCATATTATATATATATAACATTTATGATTGGTTCATTGAATTTGATTTGAATTGGGTATTTTGTTTGTTGCCCATCCTAAAGCCACTTTCATTCACATATCATTACATGGTCCAATTATGATGTAACACGTGGAATAAAAACTATAGAGCAGAACTAATAATTTCCTAAAAATAAAACTAATAACAAAACATATCAACAGAAAGAAAAAAACAGAAACACAAGATATTTACGGAAGCTAAAGAGGCTTGTCTATGTCAGTGCAATGAACCTCTTCCTCATCTTTCCCGCCACCCCAACTAACAGATCTTTCACCGTACACGTCATCCTCTTTTTGTTCACCAAATCTATGACTTTCTCTCTGTCTACGTGGCGACCATCTGTTTATTTCCCGACAAAAGTAGGACCTACTTGATTGTTTTTCAGTATATTTTTTTTCAAAAGGATTTTAGTTACCATCGTTGGAGAAAGAATCATCTGTTGACAACACAGCACACTTCTTTCGTCGGTTCTCTTCTGTTTTCGGTTCAACCGGAATGTCATTATAGGATTTTGAAGTCTATCCATAAATGTATATTTTATTTATTAAACTGGAATCACAAATTTATTTTTGTTTAAGTGGACGTCTATGGATTGGAGCTATTCAGATTCTGGATTAAGTTTTTTTTTTTTTTAATTCTGGATTAAGTTGGTACATTAGTCACGCACAACCATAATAGACTTTTACTGTCACTGAAAGAATGTACAAGTGGTAGTTAAAATCAAGTACATATTAGTAAAAATATATGGTTTTATAATTTGAAATTTTTTGTGTATGAGTTGTAAATAATCTAACTATAATAACTACCTAAAATTATTTTCGATGATTTACAACTCATATGCAAAATTTGATTGAACAAAATTCTGGATAAAAAAATTATAAGTGCTAGTCATTATTTTCTTGTAAAAGATCTCTTTGAATCAAATTTAAAACCAGAACAATTGTTTTAAATATTTTTATTTCTTTACCATTCATATGTTAATATTTTTAAATTGGTGTTAATCCACATTTAAATATATAAGATACATGAATATACATTTAACATATGAGTTGTAAGCAAACAAAAAGTTAATACTAATTTTACTGATTGTTAATTTGACATAAGGAAATCTTTTTACTATTAATCATAACTGTTTGTCCAGAATTTTGTTCAATAATAACTGTTTGTCCAGATTTTTGTTCAACAAAATTTTGCATTTTATATTTGATATCACCAAAAGTCGACTGCTGTAGAGTAGATAAGACTACAGACTCAACACCACGTTGAAACGACTATCACTTAAAACACATCTAGGAGAGAGATAAGATGTCTTCCTAAAATCATCCAAGATGAAATTAGAAAGAGTTTAGAAAGTGGTTAATTAGTATAACAAGCACCTGAGATAATGTGCCAATGCTCTTAGGTTTAGTGTATTTTGAATGTCTAAATATTTCCCTTTTTTTTTTTTTATCAGATTTTTTGCCAACAATATTTCCCTTTTTATGGTATTAGAAAAAAAAACTGTATATTTTAAAACTTATGTATTATTGTATTTATACGAGACTAATTGGACTTCAGAAACATATTGATTTTATGCATGGGCCGGGTGAAGTACGTTTACGCATGAATTAGGTAAGTGTAATGATATTTTAGATAATCATCCCTCAAGAAATGGTCGTGATGTGTCCCATTTTATATGTCACAAAGTAAAAATAGTTGGTTTCGTGCTTGGTCGATTTTGAAACTCCCCTTGTCAAGTGATATGAGTGAGTGTTTTCCTTAAAATTCTACTATATGGTTTCAGAATCCAAGAAGTGTCGTCATGCTATAATTTACTAATATTTTGATTAAAAATTACTCATGCAATAACTTGTTGATGATGTCTTCCTCCAAGTGTTAAGTCAATTATTAAAACTAAATATTTTATCATAAATTAGATATTTTGTCGATGACTTCCTCCAAGTGTGATGAACAATAAAAGATACCGGTTTGCCGAAAAAAGTGCGATGAACAGTGTTTTAATAGTAGTTAATTATTCTATAGAATATTGCAACAGTTTTTATAATCCAGAAAGCCTTTGGAATTATTAAAGAAATTTAATACTAATTGTTTTAAATTTAATTTAGCCTTCTGTTCATTAACTTTCTAAGTTTTTCTATTGACATGCCGCATGTTTGAATTCAATAAATAATTTTCAAAAATGTCTTTCTATATAATATAGTAGTACATCTGTAGTCTAAGATATATCCAAAAAATAATTTCCAAACGTTTTTTTTAAATGCTATATTTTGTTATAGAAAACTGATAGAACACCTGTAAGTCAAAAACAATGATAAAAGATACGCAATAATGGAGGGATGACACGATGGTAAAATGTAAGAAAATGAATAAATATATTTCTTTCTTCTAAAAAGAAATAAGATATATACTCTTTTTTTTTGTTACCATATAGGCAAGTTCAAAGTTTAAAATGTCTTTATTTTTCTTGACTGGAACTTCTTTGCTCTCTCAATGTGCTATGTTGTGTAATAAATAAAGACCTCTCTCTCTCTCTCTCTCTCTAAAATGTGGTATGTGGCAGATTTAAAACCGATCTCTGCCTAAACTTTTTGTTTTTTTCTTTTTGTTTCTGAAGAGAGCACCAAAATAAAAAATCTGGAAATTGTTTTCGTTGGGAATTAATTGAGGAGAGAGACACAGAGAAAGAGATCACAAAAAAAAAAAACTCTAAATGGTTGAAACGAATTGCCCATAGTCCAGGAAACTCCGATTGAAACAAAAAAATTCTGGGTGGTGATTTCTCGGGAAAATTTTGCTTTTTCTTTAATTGGCATCTCTATCTATCTCATGTGCTAGCTAAGGTTGTCTCACTTTCCTCTTCTGAGTCATGAGTTTCTTGTCTTCATCTTTCTCTAATAAAGTTAAATAGTTCTCTTAAATTTCTGTAGAAATCGTTTTCTCTTCCTCTGAACCGTTTTCAAAACTCAACCAGAAAATTAAACCCATTTCATAAATTTGGTACCTTTGTCTTCTAAAAATTGGTTGATTTCTGATTTGGCTCTCTGTGAGAGAGATCAAGCTGTTTGGGTTTTAATCAATGGACGATGTTTCTCCTGCAGTCGCTGTTCCATTCAGACCGTTCGCTGAGCCCCAGCTAGAATTCGCCGGAGTTAGAGGTTATTGCAACGGTTCGCTGTCGGAAAGTTCGTGTTCCGGTTCCGGGTCTTTAATTTCGGGAGAAGAACCAATGAAAGATTCGTCCTTTGGGGTAAACTCGAGACAGGATTTGTCACCATCGTCATCAGTATCATCTGCTGCGGCAAGCGTACCTGACGTTATGGTGGATATCTCCGCCGGAGAAGAAATCAACGGCTCTGATGAGTTTGATCCAAGATCGACGAGTCAGGGCGGCGAGAAGAGAGTAATCAGTAGAACAGAGAGTAGAAGTCTGTTCGAGTTTAAGAGTGTGCCTTTATACGGGGTGACTTCGATTTGTGGAAGACGACCAGAGATGGAAGATTCCGTCTCGACGATTCCTAGATTCCTTCAAGTCTCGTCAAATTCATTGCTCGATGGTCGAGTCGCCAACGGATTCAATCCTCACTCGAGTGCTCATTTCTTCGGTGTTTACGATGGCCATGGCGGTTCTCAGGTAAAATCAGATTTAATCAATTCGATTCGATTCTTAATTCATTAGTGTTTTGATCGGAAATTGAATAATAAACTGCGAAATCTTTGGATTGTAGATCTGATTTTTTATCGTTTGTTCGGTTGTTGTGTGAAGGTGGCGAATTATTGCCGCGAGAGGATGCATTTGGCTTTGAAGGAGGAGATAGTGAAGGAGAAGCCGGAGTTTTGCGACGGTGACACGTGGCAAGAGAAGTGGAAGAGAGCCTTGTTCAACTCCTTTATGAGAGTTGACACAGAGATTGACTTTGTTCCGGAAACGGTGGGGTCCACTTCGGTGGTCGCCATTGTGTTTCCGACACATATTTTCGTCGCCAATTGCGGCGATTCAAGAGCGGTTCTGTGCCGCGGCAAAACGCCGCTCGCGTTAACCGTCGATCACAAAGTAAGTAATACGTGTTTCTATGAATGATTCTAGTAGTTTTCAGTCATATAATTCTTTACGAATCACACTGTTTTTTTATTTGTTTAAATCGCTCTGCGGTTTCTTAAGCTAAAAAAGAAAATTTCTCTTAATGTATTATTTTCATTTTTTTTTACTGAGTCTTTATCTATTAGATTGGTCAACGTTCTTATATGGTTTGGCTCTACATTTATGTATAGCCGGATAGAGAAGATGAAGCGGCGAGGATAGAAGCAGCCGGAGGGAAAGTAATCCGGTGGAACGGTGCTCGTGTTTTCGGTGTGCTCGCCATGTCAAGATCAATAGGTATTGTTTCACTTTCTCCGTTAAATATAACAAATGGTTTTGGTTCTTTGATAGTTCGCTTACGCTTATAAGCCGGTTGCAAACAGGCGATAGATACCTAAAACCGTCCGTGATCCCTGATCCTGAAGTGACTTCGGTCAGAAGAGTCAAAGAAGACGACTGTCTCATCTTAGCTAGCGATGGTCTTTGGGATGTGATGACAAACGAGGAAGTGTGCGATATGGCTCGGAAGCGGATTCTGTTATGGCACAAGAAGAACGCGATGGCCGGAGAGGCTTTGCTTCCGGCGGAGAAAAGAGGAGAAGGAAGAGATCCGGCGGCAATGTCGGCGGCAGAGTATTTGTCGAAGATGGCTTTGCAGAAGGGAAGCAAAGACAATATTAGTGTGGTAGTGGTTGATTTGAAGGGAATAAGGAAGTTCAAGAGCAAATCCATGAATTGATGATGAACAAGGTTTGGAAGAAAAAGAAAGAAAAAGTTTTGATGGTGGGATAAAGAAATCTCTTCAAAATAAAATTGAAAGAAACAGGTAAATTATAATATTATTAATTTGTTTTTAATATAAATTTCCTGCTTATTTTTTTCTTACTTTGCTATCTTTCCCACCATTAATTTAATCTTTTTTTTTTAAAACAATACTAACATGAATATGTATATGAGTGAGATCATGTAGCTTCCAAACAAAAATCCCCGTCTGTTTTTTTTATTTTTGGGGTTAAATTGTAATATATGACTGCACTCTTATAAGTCAAGATTTAATGTTATCATTTTATATTTTAGTTTTACTACCTTGTTTTTAATCTTTGTATTACAGAAACTGAATACATAATATCGGGATCCGGATTGAATTCCAAAAATCTCTTAATGCTTACGAAAAATATTGCATAGTTTGAGTCTTATGAAAATTATAAAATTATCGCATCTTTTCACTACATCAACAGTTAAACAAAGAAGTAAAATGGGAAAACAAAAAACAAAGAAGTAATGCATTCTTAAACATCATACTAAACTTTCAAAAATTACTTTCAAAATTTGATATCGGTTTTTACATCTCTCTCCAAATACCATTTTGTTCTGCATAGAGAAGAAGATATGTTTATTGTTTTTTTTAGTATAAAATAAATAAATAAGCCGCTCATCTTCTTCAGCTTTGTACGCATTTAAAAGCGCCGACGAAGTTGAAAAGGACTAAAAGTTGAAGAAGAAGAAGAAGCAGAAAAGACACGATTCTCATCTGACTAATCAAGTTTCAGATTCGTTTAGTTACCTGATTCGTCCCGAAAATTTTACTTCTCTTTGGTCGGTGAGTTATCTTGGATCTCTTGTTTCATTTTCTCCAGGGTAATTTTCAGTCTTAGATGAACAATGGATCGACGAGTTTGGTTGATTGCTAGGGCTTAGTTTTAATCGTATCTCGATTATGTTTCTATCCTTGATTTGGGGATTTCAAATGATTGCAGGTTTGAGTACTGCTTGACAAATTCGGAGGGTTTCATTGTCAATGCAGGAAAAAATTGAAGATCTGATCAGAAGCAAGAGCTAGAGGGATGGACGAAAGTAATTTATCTTCTTGCCTCTCTTACCAACAAATAAATTGGTTCTTTTGACTCTTCAAATTTCTTCTCTTTTGTTAGTTTTAGAGTGGGATTCGTAATCAACGAGTATCATCCATACCTAGGAACAGAGTAGTTTTGTTACTGCAAATTATATGTTTTTCTTTCGGCTATTTTTGGATCTATACGACTTCATCCATACGTGTGCAAGTAAATATTGCATTCTTGATCATGCAGATACTAAATTTGTATCTGGAAATGTGAGAACCGAGCTGGTAAAATTCATTGCTGATAGGCATGCCAATCTCATGAAACCAGCTGGTCGATATTATTCTACACTAAAAGGTAAAGTACTACAACGTGTTTACAATCTATTACCCATCTTAGTGCCTGGTCTTGTCATGTGTAGAAGTCCTGCAGTTTACCCTTAATTGTTATAGATAAGATGTGATATATGAAGCATCCATATCCTTTTTCTTGGTTCTAAGTATGAACTAAGAAACACCTGTCTCTGTTTCCGTAGATGCTATATGTGGGAAAAGAAGGTATACGCTTGTAAAAGATGCAGCCGACATGGAAACAGGAGTATATGACAAACCTCTTCCATGCTTTGGTTGTGGAATCGGATGGTTCTCGTGAGTATTGTTCTCCTGTTAAATTTCTTCAGACCAATCCTGATTCGATCTTTCACTTTAACCTTCTGATTTCATCTCTTGTAATAATTACAGCTTTCTTCTGGGATTTGTGTTCCCACTTTTGTGGTACTATGCTACATTTCTTTACTTTGGGAACTATTACCGCAAGGACCCTAGAGAAAGAGCCGGTCTTGCTGCTTCCGCAATCACTGTAAGTACTTATATGTGCTTTCGTGTGTATGGACGTTACAGTTAGATTATGATAGTCCGTAGGCTGATAAAGTTGTTGTAGATTAGTCGAAATGACTGTTGATTCGAAGTTAAATTGGTGCAGGCGATGGGATTCTCACTCGTGTTACTCGTGATTTTTGCCTTCCGATGGTTTTAATATCTTTGAGATATACAAGTAATTATGTAAGTACACACACATTCCTGTCAGTTCCGTGCTCGTGAAGGAATAGTAGCAGAACCTGATGTCTCATGTACATTTCACATAAACCTATGATTCTACTTCAATCTTTTTTTCTCAAGTTGTATCAACTTCTGTTCACAGCTTATAGAGTTTGTATACAAAGAACAGAGTACATTTAACACTAATCAATGGTGGTAGCTAAATTTGCTTCTCGCTGTGATTATTCTCCTCTAAATAAGTCGGAAAGATTGGATTATTAGTTTATTACCAATTTTTTTGTACAGAATGTTTCATATCTTGGCCGTTCTCTAATGAATTTGTGGACTGAGATGGGCTTTTGTCCGTTTAGTAGTGGGGTGTTCTCTTGTTGAGAGCCCATTTACTGAAAATAATTATTTGAAGTTAGAAAAAATATTTAGAACTCGTATATGAGAAAACTATTTCTAAACAAATAATTTTGAAAAACGGTATTATGGACATAAACTATTCATCATTGTCAAATTTTCAGAATTCATAACTCTTTAAATATATCTTCTAACACATTTAAATAAGTTGACGAAAAAAAACATATTTATATTAAGGTATACCGAAAATAAAAATAATTTAAAACATTTATGTGAAGTATACTTGGCAATTAGGCCCTGATGGAAATTTAGTTATCTTAGCAAAGAATCAACTTTTTAAAACGAAATGAAAGTTTTTCCAGTTGTATGTAAGGTAGTGAACTAAAGTCCAAGCCGTTCCGTACGCACAGTAAAATTTCTAGACAGCATGGTGTGCTTTTCTCTTGAGTGTAAAACGGCGTGAAGTCTCCAGTGATAGGTACGGCCCGGGTTTGATTATATTTGTACTTATCATCAAAGAGAGAAGCTTAATTGATTGATTCGATTATTCTGATCGCTAAAAGCTTCCAATAGGTTAATGCCACGACAAATGTGTGGATCTCTTCCATTTTAATAATTGAAACACGAATAATCATTAAGAGCTTTAAATCATTTTTAAATCAACTCTAGTAAGACGACATGTATAATACGATTAGATTAGATGTGGTAAATCGCACGTGTGGGAGACAGGCTGTGTATCTGGAAGATAGCTGTTTGAAGAAACTTAGACGATACTTCCGATTCATCTAGCGGCTCTTTTTCCCCAGCCTGTCTCCTTCTCTTCTTCTTTTTCTTACTCATTAAAAAAACTTGATTACTATTAATTATTATATATATAAAAATTTCTCTTGTGGCTCGTTTCCAGACCAAAATACAGGTATCTGTACCTAAACTCCAGATCCATGTCCATCTGTGTCCAATTATCTAATTAATCATTCTTTGTTTACTATAAAAACAATTCTTTAATCTGTATTTAGCAACAAACAAAAGAAAAACAGATGTAATTCCGACTCTTCGGTTTTAAGTCTTTTTTTTATCTTCTAAAGCAGAAATCGAGTTTATATACGCTAGGGCTATCTAAAACATTATCTCTTTAGCCAGTTGAGCTACTAATTATCAATATTAGCGATAGTATTACGGTGGTTTCTTTAAATTTATGTATTGAGTCTTCCAAAAACGCATGATGCTATAGTTTCGACTTTCTGTTAGACTGTTACATAACCCATGTTTATGTTTGGTGGATTTCTCATATTGTATTATCAAAAAATATTTATTTCGATCAATGGAAACTATTGATTCGATGGCTCAACAGTTTTTTGGTTGGACAATAAACTTTTTGATATCACTTTTTCTTTCACTAACTTTTTACCCACGTAAATCATCTGATTATTGATTAATTTATGAGATATTAGACCTTATACGATTCTCCCGAAATCGAATTTGTTTCTTTATACGTAAATCGCTATCCTCCTTTTCTTTGGTTAAGAGTTTTCTTAATGTTTTTAGTTAATGCTTACTTTTCTTTCTTTGGTCTTTAGGTTTACTAGTGGGACACTGAATAAGAACGATATAAGAGCCAAATTTAAAAATATCAAAACCATTTCTTTTTCACAGACAGAAAGCCGGTGGCGATGGCCATAAATTTAAGACTATCAACGTTTTAAGTTTCATATGATGTGTTGTTAACTTGTAATCATGATATTTTAATTGTATATATTTTGGGGGGAGGGATTGTCGTAACTTCAAACTGTTACGTAAATAATATACCAGAAAATAAAATTACGTATAAGTTATATATAACGTTTGTTTACTTTCGAAATATCAAAAAGTTGATCGTTTTTTTATGCGTTTATGTGTTCCAGAAATAAATAATATAAAATAAATCTGGAAATGGTGGTGGCCGAGTGTACAACACATTATCTATAAGGTGGAACGTTACACAACCCAAAAATCAGGATTTAGTTTATTTATTCATTAATTCGCTCATAAGTAATATTAGGTCGAAAAGTTTCGTAAACTAACACTTTTAATTTCAAATATTTATTATCTACTAAACTACAAAAACGCTAAAAGGGTTTATAAGAAATTAAAGATGAGTTTAAAGGGTTGGGATTGGATGCTGGTCCCTTTTTCTTTTTTCTTCACCTTTTTGTTGAGTGATATTTTTTTTATTCCACTTTTTCGCTCCTTCCACTTATCGAATGTGGCAATATTGTAGCAAATAATGAAGAAATTATGCTGCATATAAGCTATATAATGCCACCAATCGACATCTGATTTCAATATCGTTTGATCTATCACTATTTTTTTTTTTATAAAGCTAAGACCATAATAACCACTTATCTACTCAAAATAAATAATATATGTTTTTTTTTTTTTTTACAAACTTTTGAATTTTGCTGACCACTGAGTGAACTAGAGCTAAATACAATGAGATTACGCATATATATTCGATTTTTGTTTGTTATGTAGAAAGTTTTTTAAAATATATCGTAGTTTTTGTTAAGTTCAGGATTAACCATTCTATTTATGCGGATGCGTAAATCATCTTTCTATATGCATAACACGGACGACAAAGACAAAAATGCAAAACCACATCGAAGTCCTTATCTTGTAGTAAAATGAAAGTCTAAAAGAATTTTTACGAATAAAAAGATTCATCATTTTTCTTTGACTTTCTTTAGAAATAAGTTTCAACTCATGTGGCAAAAGCGTAATCATAATGCTAAATAGGGCAAATATGTGTTTAAATTGTAATTTACTTTTTTTGTTTCTTTTCATAAATGAATAATTGTTAAGAAAAAAAAAACTAAATAAGTAATTTAAGCAGAGACAGCTCGACAAAAGTCGCGGAGGTTTGGGTTGGGGTGTAGCGAGAAAAGGGTAAGAAAACACTTTACAATGATGATAACCACGCTCCAATTATTTCTTGTCAACAGAGCATGAGCAATTGAGCATCCTCTAAAGTTATTTTCCAAATTTATATGTACGAGATTCAAATCTCTACGTGGACTTATTTAGTACAAGCAAATATCGTACATTACTTTAAAAAAAAAGTGTGTACTAGTACTTAATACATAGAACGATTAATAATTATGTATTTTGCTTAGATGATGTACTAATTATAGTCGGAACGATGAAAGTTTTTGTTGAGGAGTTGAATCACATTTTTTTAGTAACATATACGATTTTGTTGGCAGTACATGGAGCGATATAGATGAGTATGAACATAATCCTGAAATTGTTTTAGCGGAAATAAAAACTTGAGATAAATATTTATTACAAAATGTAATTAAAAACATAATTTTTTTTTTTTGTGAAAGGGTAATTAAAAACAGTATTTACGAAGTAGTATTATAAACAATCTTTACTTTCGATATAATACAGGAAAGCCAGTGTTGTGTTGTATTTTTGTTGGATATTTCGTAATTAGTTTAGCAAATTTACATTTTTAACTTAGTCCACGTTTTTTTACTTGCAATGTTCCACTTTAATTACCTAGCTAGTGGAATTACAATCATGGTTGTACAGTATTTACGTCCAAAGAAGGACCCAGTTAGTACTTTTAACCAAATTTTCATACTTTTAGTCCTATTTACAACCTCTGTTTTTTTTATTCTTTTCATATTTGAATGTTAAGCCTTAAGAATGTAAACAAACTTTGACATTCTGTCTTCATGCCACTCACTAGTAAAAGATTTGTGCCGTGCGATTTTTTTTAAGGAAAGACAAAAGTGAGATACTTTCGTGTAACATAATGATTGAAAAAATAATTAAAACGAGACAGAGAAGAAACTAGTTTTGTAACTCTCTGAATAAATCCCTAGGTTTAGACCTCAAATTACATACTGTACATAGTAAAACCCAAGAGATCCATTTTTTGAAACATAAACCTCTTAGTATATTATAATTTTCGAATGTTACGTCGTGGTGTTCTGAAAATTGCACAATTATAAAGTTGTAAATATTCTTTTAATGTTGACTAAAAGCCAGTAGAAATTATTTTGTTGTAAGGAAAGTTGAAGTCTTACATTGAGTATGGGATCTTTTTCTTACGTAGCTATAGAAAACCCCGTGGTATAATACAATCGTGTGTTGGAATGTTGCTTGCTAAACAATATAATACTTGATATGTCAACATATGTTCGATTATGCATTACTTCCATGATTAATGGAACGTTCGGTAAGCAAAAATATTTCTTATCTTGCTCGACGTTGCTTGTAATCAAGGGTTATCCAAGACGGGCCTTAGTGGCAACATCCTCAACAATTTTAAAATTGAATTAATCTATCAATCATTTTAAAAAGGAATCATTTGACTAGCTGTTATTTATTAAACCATACTACAAATGCGACTAATTAGACTATGCAAAGATCAACATTGAAAATCTAAATGGACGGCTACGAGAAAATAACATATTAATCTTTCGTTTTTAATGTCATTATCACATGATGTGAAACAAATGTTTAGATATGTACATAATGTATTTCACAAATTTCTTTTCAATTACTAATGTATTTTTAGAGTTGTATTTTCGATTATTTTTGTGCGTTGTTGACAAAAGAAAAATATTTGATTATGAATTTTTAAGTGAAGTAATTCGACGCAATTTCCAAATGAATGATTTGAGTTGAGTCTAATATTATTTTAACAAGTCTTTGGCGCGACATTGTTCAATACCATGACAACAATTCCTTTCCGTGTCCGTATGATTATAATCTTAATGATAGTTTTGTTTTCCCAATAATTAAGTTTAATAACGTACTTAATTAGTATTACTGTCAATCTTTCCGCCACATAATACGCACTATATATACGGTTACTCATTAATGAACTGTAATCGAATCGGCGAGTCTCTCTCTCTCTCTCCTCTCTCTCTCTTCATTCAAACTTTCACCGGAAAATGGAGATTAACGGCGAACAACCGCCGCTGTTCTGGCCACAGTTTGAATCTACTGAATATACTCGCCGGCGATCACCGGTTCCGTCGATGTTAGGCCCGGCGATGATCGGAGTGATTTCAGCGGCTGTTTTTCTTCTGTTTATGACCTTCGTCGTCCCTCCGTTTCTCTCGATCACATCTCAGATTCTTCAGCCAGCTTCCGTGAAGAGAGGATGGGATTCGATCAACGTCGTTTTAGTGGTTTTCGCGATTCTCTGCGGCGTACTCGCGAGACGAAACGACGACGGATCGTCATCGTCGTCGCCGTCTTCACACGGCGAAGTAGGAGAAGAAGAAGGAGCTGTCACGAGTGGCAAAATGACCGTCGGTGAGGGTAGCAAAATCTCTCCCGCTTCGTCGGTTTCTCAGCAGTGGTTTGAAGACGTGTACGACGCTGATAGGCTGAAGATCTATGAGAGCTTGAGTAGCCGGAGTTTCTCGCATGTATTACCGGATACCGGAAATTTACCGTTGAGGCGTAGCAGTAGCTCGTATCCTGATCTGCGACAAGGAGTTTTCAGGGAAACTCCCGATCGCCGGTACCGGTTTTACGACGATTTCGAAATCGACAAGTACCGATCGCACGATTCGCCTTCTTACGAACAGTTTTCGAGTCGTTCTAAAATTGAAATCGAAGAATCCGAGCCAAAAGAAATTCCGGTTGATAAATTTGTTGTGAGACCGTCTTCTCCACCGGTTCCACCGGCGCAACAACCACCGGCACCACCACCTCCTCCTCCACCTCCTCGATCATCGCCGGTTGAAGTTTCGCAGAAACCGAGAAGGACTCATCGTTCTGTTAGAAACAGAGATATACAAGAAAAGCCGAAACGCAGTGAGATTATTTCTGACTCTACCAAGTTTAAACGCGCGTTTCAGCCTCCGCCGTCCCCGCCTCCACCTCCTCCCCCGCCTCCGCCTCCTTTCATAACCGCCACGCCACCGAGGAAACAGGGGACTCTTCAGCGAAGAAAGAGCAATGCGGCGAAAGAGATTAAAATGGTTTTCGCTTCTCTGTATAATCAAGGAAAGAGGAAGAAGAAGCTTCAGAAACCAAAGAGAAAGGAGAGAAACGAATCTCCGGTGGTGGCGGAAACAGAACCACCAAAATACCAATCGTCATTTCCACCACCCTCTCCGCCGCCACCTCCACCACCTCCTCCTCCTCCGCTGCGATCGTCGCAGTCAGTATTCTACGGATTGTTCAAGAAGGGAGTTAAGAGCAAAAAGATACATTCCGTTCCGGCGCCGCCTCCACCTCCCCCGCCGAGGAAGATCCAATCGGATCCTCAGACACCACCACGGAGAGTGAAATCAGGGAGACCTCCGCGCCCGACGAAACCGACAAATTTCAACGAAGAGAGCAACTACCAAGGATCTCCATTAATTCAAACAACGCCACCTCCACCTCCGCCGCCTCCGTTTAGGGTTCCGCCGCTAAAATTCGTGGTGAGTGGGGATTTCGCGAAGATACGGAGCAATCAGAGCTCCAGATGTAGCTCCCCTGAGCGAGAAGTGATCGACGTCGGTTGGGGTCTAGAACTCACACAATCTGACGGCGGAGACGAAGGTCACGCCGCCGTGGGTACTGGTGGCGGCGGGCAGGGGTTCTGTCCAAGCCCGGACGTCAACACTAAAGCCGACAATTTCATCGCCAGGCTCAGAGACGAGTGGAGGCTCGATAAGATCAACGCTGTGAAAGGGAAAACGAACTTGGGCTCAGTGTAAAGGCCCATTATGAAAAGGAACAAGTACAAAGACCGTACAACAAAAGCATTTTCAAGCAAGTGGGTAAAAAAGACCGTTCGATATGTTTATACGGATTGGCGCATTCGGTGTGATTCTAAGCAATGTGCAGACACAAGCACTCCGAATTTGAAGTTACGGGTAATATTGGTATTACCGGTAAAGTAAATCGGTTAGAACCGGCTGGTATTTTTCTTTAGTTTAACCGGTGAGGGGGGACTTTTGTTTGGTGTGTTTGGTTTCTCGGTTTGGAGTTTCTGATAAAAAGAAGACAAAACTGGCTGTCAGAGAAATTGTTGCTAGTTGGTATTGATGTATGTATGGCCCGTGATATGGAAATATCGTTGTGGGCTCTGAATTTTATTGGGCCTACCTCTTGCGACCTTTCCTCCTCTCTTTTTTTTTTATTGTAAATGTTTCTTTTATGAATATTGAGTTTTTTTTTTAATATTTATTTCAGAATTACGAATTTTTGGTATTTCAAAATTCTTAGATTTTTTTTTTTGAAAAACAGAAACCAACAACTCACTATTACCAATAGCCGGTTAAGTAAAAATGTGTAATAAGCAAACTCTTGATTGGTTAACTAAAGAGTCGGGAAAAGCTTTGAATCATCGGTGTTTAGTAAAAAAGCAGAGCCCAATGATGAACAAGAAAACATACAGAGGGAAGTTGCCGACGGGAACTCCGTCTCTGCCATTGTCAACAGTCGTCGTCGTTGTTTCCCTTCTCGCTGGAGCTTCCATCGTCCACAACATCTATAAGCCAGATCTCGTAAGCTTCGCTTTTTTCTCTTGTAAAACGTTTTCCCTCAAATGTAATTAGTTTTGCGCACGTCCTTCGATCTATACAAATGCCCATAAGGTGATCGTTTGATTTCCATTCCAGAGATATCCTGATTGTCTATCTCTGTTTTCGTATGTACATCTTCTACGTAACGCACGTAAGGTGTTCGATGAATTGCCCGTGAGAGATTTCTAATCTGATTGCTTTTTTATTTTCTTTGTGCAGAGTTTACCACCGATGGAAAGTGGTGAAGTGGCTAAGAAGGAGGATTCTGCAAACAAAGTTTGAATCTTTCAATGTTTCTTTTTCTTGTTTTGGTACCTAAGTACTTTTAGATTACATGTGATTTTACTTATGTTTCTTTCTAAATCTCTGTGTTAACAAACATGGATAAACCTATAAACCAAAAAATCACACAAATAAAGTTGCCTCTTCTTATTGTATACGCTTCTTGGCCATCGATCTCATGTTTCGTTTTCCATCGTGGAAAGCGCACGTCTATTATTTTTGGAACGATACAGTCGGGCCGATTAGCTCTTCACTGTAGTTATCAAAGCCCAATAGAGCTCTTCTTAGAAGGTCTATTAGGCCCAATCAAAGCGGCGTGATGAATACGTCGAGGCAATATGAAAATACGACAATTATGTGTGGTAGGAATAGAATCGGAGGTATTATTATTATTCATCTGGTCCAATTGCCAACGTCCTTGACCCCCTAATTAATAAAAAAAATCATTCAAACGGAGAAAAAACAAACATTATATTAGAGTGGTAAACTTGTAAATTTCGTTTACAAAACTACAACGGTCTAAAATTAAACTATTTTCTTCCTTATCAACATTCAGATCTTCAATTGTTTTCTTCCTGATTAAAAATCAGATCTTTACAGGAACCGCAGATCGCTCAGAAAGTGTTGTTTTAGATGCTCTCAATAGCATGTGCATGCATCCACCTTCGCCGTGTCAATAGCTTACACACAGTTGGTCTATTTTTTTATATATATATATATATATATATATATATACCATCTTGTACTTATATATTACATTTGTGTATGAAAACTAAAAAGTGGTGTTGCACTTAGAAGTGGATCCTAAGTATCTAAATTCTATTTTTAGAATCTAACATTTGTGTACAGTGTACATATATAATCTCCAAAGCATTTAATTTCACCTCATATACTATATAGACCACGGGACAGAAGGGAAACCAATCTTGCTCATCCCAAAACAAGATTCTCTGTTTCTTTTTTTTTATTTTGTAATTAATATATCGGCTTCTTGCACAAAATATATAAGGTGCAAAATATAATATATAGCTAGGGTAAATAAAAATCACGACTATGTGTAGTAGTGTGTGGTTTGATCATTTGAGGAACATACATAATATTTTATATGCAATTATGTGATCCCGTGGAATGTACATTTTATAACGTAATTTTGTAAATTGCACTTCATTTAGACACAAATAATACTACTGTTCTGCATGTAATACTTGTATGGACCTACTACTTTTCTTTTATGATTTAATCAACTCATGCCCCAATGAAACTCTAAAAAGAAAACGAAAACACGTCTTGGTTTTATATTCAGATGTGAAGCGATCCTCTACGGGCTATATAATTCATTCATTTGAACACGAATCCCAATTTTCTACTATGCTCAAAAAAAAAAAAAAAAAACTAAATGATTAACAAAAACAACATTAATTAATACTATCGTCTCAATGAAAACTTCACCTCACTTCATCGTCCATAAATACCTTATACCACCGCACGAACTTCCGTCTCTCTCCATCTCTAACCTTTTCTATCTCTTGCCGAGAAATAAATCAAAATGATCACCGGCAAAGATATGTACGACGTACTAGCGGCGATGGTGCCGCTATACGTAGCTATGATACTAGCCTACGGTTCGGTACGGTGGTGGGGAATATTCACACCGGACCAATGTTCCGGTATAAATCGGTTCGTTGCGGTTTTTGCGGTTCCTCTTCTCTCTTTCCATTTCATCTCCTCCAATGATCCTTATGCCATGAATTACCATTTCCTCGCCGCCGATTCTCTTCAGAAAGTCGTTATCCTCGCCGCACTCTTTCTTTGGCAGGCCCGTCTCTTAAATCATAATATTCTCTATTTATACGTGCATCTTATTTTTATGTATAATTTATAGTTTTCATAGATTCACCACCACCTTTTGATATCTAGTCTTTAGATCAGAAACGTATTTAACCAAACCTTTTGACACTCACTTCTGAAGATCTCTAGCTACACTCACACACTCATTTGTTTTTTTTTGGTATATATGTTTTTGGTAACTAATCTTGAATAAGTATATGACTTGATGTATATTCTTGTGATTGTTTTCAGGCTTTTAGCCGCAGAGGAAGCCTAGAATGGATGATAACGCTCTTCTCGCTGTCGACACTACCGAACACGTTGGTAATGGGAATCCCATTGCTTCGGGCGATGTATGGAGACTTCTCCGGCAACCTAATGGTGCAGATCGTGGTGCTTCAGAGTATCATTTGGTATACATTAATGCTCTTCATGTTCGAGTTCCGTGGCGCTAAGCTTCTCATCTCCGAGCAGTTCCCGGAAACAGCCGGTTCCATCACTTCTTTCCGAGTTGATTCCGATGTTATCTCTCTCAATGGCCGTGAGCCCCTCCAGGTATGGATATTTACACTAATGGACCTGCATCTGTTAGTTTAACTGGAACTGGATTAATTACTACACTTTAAATATTTATATATCGTGCTGGATTTCTTTTTTAAGATATCTATATCCAAATTATTAGAAAATTTGAGTTTGTTTTTTGATAATTGGTTTTGTAACTTTGTTTTGTTCATTTAATTTTTTAAAGTCAAGAAAAATTATTTGGTTTTTTTGTCTGCAACAATTTTTTTTGTTTCAATTTAAATCTACATAATATCAAAATATTCTAGTACCTTTCCTTGTATTTAGAGTTTTTCGTTAAGCTTGATTAATAGAAAAGCTGGACATTATAATCTCGGTTCGGTTATTAACTTGGTTATATCCGGTTTATTTCACAATGACTCAAACTTATCACCGAACAACATTTTCTTATTAATCAGACCGATGCGGAGATTGGTGACGACGGGAAGCTTCACGTGGTGGTCCGGAGATCAAGCGCCGCCTCATCGATGATCTCATCGTTCAACAAATCTCACGGCGGCGGAGGACTTAACTCCTCCATGATAACACCGCGAGCTTCAAATCTCACCGGTGTCGAGATTTACTCCGTTCAGTCGTCGCGAGAGCCGACGCCAAGAGCTTCGAGCTTTAACCAGACAGATTTCTACGCTATGTTTAACGCAAGCAAAGCTCCGAGCCCTCGCCATGGTTACACCAATAGTTACGGTGGCGCTGGGTCTGGTCCCGGCGGAGATGTTTATTCGCTTCAGTCGTCTAAAGGAGTGACGCCGAGAACTTCGAATTTTGATGAGGAAGTTCTGAAGACGAAGAAAGGAGGAAGAGGAGGGAGAAGCATGAGTGGTGAATTATACAACAATAACAGTGGTGGTATGTTTGTTTCTATTTTTATGTTGATTTAGTATCATTTCCAAACTTTATAGAAACTTAGTCATAAACCTACAATTTATCGTAAAACATAACAGGATATAATTTTTTTTTTTTAATCATTTTCTGTGACTTTTATTTTTTGCGTGCATGTAATGTAATTATAAATATATCAGTTCCGTCGTACCCACCACCGAACCCGATGTTCACGGGGTCAACGAGCGGAGCAAGTGGAGTCAAGAAAAAGGAAACTGGTGGAGGAAGCGGTGGAGGAGGAGGAGGAGGAGGAGGAGGAGGACAGAACAAGGAGATGAACATGTTTGTGTGGAGTTCGAGTGCTTCTCCTGTGTCAGAAGCCAATGCGAGGAACGCTATGACGAGAGGTGCCTCCACCGATTTATCCACCGACCCAAAAGCTTCTCTTCCTCCTCAAGACAACCTCGCTTCTAAAGGTGTATTAATCTTCCACTCATATCTATTATCATAATTATCTATTTTTTTATACTTTCATAATCTCATCACATTCTCGGTTTTAATCTTCGCTTTTAATTATTTCGCCACTCAATTTTAATAAAAAGGAACACCCAACTAAAGTAGAATTTTGTTTGGTTCGGTTGGATTGTATACAATTTATACATTTTTGTCTTGACTTTATGCGTTTAATTCGATTTGTTGTTAAAAAATCCGCTTTTAGCCTCTTCTTTGTTACATATTTTTATTTATTGGGACAAAGATAAATGCGACTCATCGTGTTTTCTTTTTCAGTGTGCAAATCCATTTTTCAAGTCAACAGTACGAATTGCTATCCTGGTTGGATTAGTTTATTGAGTTAGGCATCAATGTTTACAATATTAAAATGAACTATAATAATATAGTCAATATAAGTTAGTATTTTTTTCCGGATAAAGAAAGATTATGATCTAGTAATAACAATATTAATTTTTATAAACTTGATGATGACAGCGATGCAGAATCTGATAGAGAACATGACCCCGGGAAGAAAAGGGCATGTGGAGATGGACCAAGACGGTAATAACGAAGGGAAGTCAGGGGTAAATTCGTCACCTTTCAGGGGAAAGAAAGGCAGTGACGTAGAAGACGGTGGTCCCGGCGGTCCGAGGAAACAGCAGATGCCGCCGGCGAGCGTGATGACGAGACTAATACTGATAATGGTTTGGAGGAAACTCATTCGAAACCCTAACACTTACTCAAGTCTCTTTGGCCTTGCTTGGTCCCTTGTCTCCTACAAGTAAGTACTTATTACCATATATCAAAATTATAAATTGATAACTATCAACGAGCATTTTTTTTTATAAGAAAAATACAGATTGCAGATTTTATAATTAACGAATGTTTTTATAATGTTTTCTACCGGATGTGACGTATGCAGTATTTAAAGTTAATGCATATTAAACTTTTAAACTAAATTTTCATTATTAATCAAAACTTATATTTATCTAGACAATATTGCATTGAGAGTGAAATAGATATATTGTCGTAGCCATTTTGCATTTACAATAAAGGTTTATGTGGGTTTTTTTTTTGGGAACATATATGTGGTTTGTTTGATGTTGATTATATGTATTATCCATGGTTTTCATGACAGGTGGAATATAAAGATGCCAACAATAGTGAGTGGATCGATTTCGATATTATCTGATGCAGGTCTCGGCATGGCTATGTTTAGTCTTGGTACGTATTATTCCTCTTCATATATTATTTCGCTTGAACTCTACATAAATATCTTATTTTGTGTTGTGGAGTTTTACTAATCATGTTTATTATAAACAATATAGGTCTATTTATGGCATTGCAACCAAAGATAATTGCGTGCGGAAAATCAGTGGCAGTCTTCGCGATGGCCGTAAGGTTCTTGACCGGACCGGCCGTAATCGCAGCCACCTCAATTGCAATTGGACTTCGAGGCAATCTCCTCCATGTCGCCATCGTTCAGGTTAATCTTTAATTTTATATATTTCATTTCAACTTATAATTGATGATTTAGTGATGTTGAAGTTGAACTTTTGTTAAATCCAATTATTGATAAGAAAAATTATATTTTTGAAGGCTGCTCTTCCTCAAGGAATCGTTCCTTTTGTCTTCGCCAAGGAATACAACGTCCATCCTGATATTCTCAGCACTGCGTAAGTTCATTTTATATATCTCTAGTTCTATATATTTGATGATTAATTAATACAATAAGTAAATATTCCATATGGAATTGTGAACTTCATTTCAAGACTTTAAGATAATTTTATTATTTTCGTCAAATTATCAAGGCAAATTTAGATTTTGACATATATGTATTGGTTTGCAGGGTTATATTCGGAATGCTGGTTGCTTTGCCTGTAACAGTACTCTATTACGTTCTTTTGGGGATTTAAGTTACAATCGAAACGTAATGGCAAATCAAAGGCGATACGACCAAAGGTGAATTTTTTTAAGAGGTAAAAATTTACTAAGGAAGAAAGAAAGACTAATTGCAGGTCAGGCTTAGGTGGATGGACCATGCAATGTCGCATTAATTAATTCATAGCATATGATAGTAGAGATTTTTAGTTAGTTTTGTATAATTTATACGCACATGCATGTACGTGACTCTGTGTAATTTTTGTTACATTTATTAAAATTTTGGGATGTGCGTACAATAGAGTTTTTTTTATTTTATTTAATTTCCTGTTTATCGGTGGTAGTGAAGTATTTAATCATTCAATCATATACTAGATCGCGCAAAGTGTGTTTAGATTAGATCTTGTGCTTCTGTAAATCTCTATACCATTTTTTATTTTATTTTGGATCAAATGCACAAATCCTTCCAAATCCAGCCTTGTATTTTCATTTCTTTTATCTGATTTCGTACGTACGTGCAAGTGAACGGAATATTCGGTTGAAGGTAGTCGCATTTTCATTCGGTGAGTAAATAACATAAAATTCGGTTATGTAAAATGTACGTCTGAGGTTATAAAGAAAATTATATGCTAATGACGCTTGATACATATATTAAAAATAGTACTAATATATGTTAGAAAAGAAGAAAAACAAATGCTTGCCTCTAAAGGCGTTGACTGTATAACGTGAAAACAATCACGTGGGATATCAAAACGAAGCGATAAACATTGGAACTCGCTCTCTGGTCGGAACGTACATTGAACGAACAACAACACATGAAAATTCATTAACCATTCTTCTCTTGATAGTTGTCCTGACTCCTCCTGACTGATCTGACAATACATCTTTAAATTTTTGCGCGTAAAATATTAAATGCGTAAGAGCATCACATATTTATACTAGGAGCAAACCATTTATAATGTTTTCAAGTTTACAGAAAGGTTTTGTGCATTGAGTAGGAGACAACATCTGCTCTGTGACAGCTCTTGTCTCTCTGGGCACTTTAAGGGAGTATATAATAATATCTCGATTTAGTTATTTTTTGGGTTTCTTGAATGTTATCTTGTCAAATTGATTAAATGTTCATACTGTTTCAATTTGATATGTTCAGGCACGAGCATTTTATTGCATCATCTACTATCAATTCATCAAATATCATTACTAAGAGCGAAAATACAAATTTCAAATTTAAAAGCCATGTTCTCGACTTGTCGTCCATACAGTACATCTTATTCTTCCTCATTATAATAATCGTCATAAAATTGCTGCTTACAAAGCAAAATACAAAGAAAAACCAAAAAAGACTCGAATTCGCAAATGTTGTTGTTGCTCTGAACCTGAAAGATTTGGAACAACACATTGTCTGAGAAATCAGAGTAAAATCATAGATACAGAGTATAATCAGTTTCACTATTTGGTAACTTCAGTCTTTTTAAGAGGAGATAGATGTGAGAGTACCTGAACTTAAAAGAGATATGATAGTCGAAAATGAATTTGGTTTCAGCTACTTTTCCCTTTCTGCTTAAGAGTAATCTTATCTCCCAGACTAAGAGCGATCCCTTGTGTCTTGCTTCGGATTCTTATGTAACCGCTAAGCTTTTCATCGGTTTGTTTCTCGATACTCACATTCACCAAAGCGTCTTCGCCAAACACACTCTTAGCGTATAAGTTAGCTGAGAGGAACCCGCACTCTCCTTCTAACACAGATCTGAAAAGAAGAAAAAACAGAGGAGAATAATCCAGTGAGATGCTTGCCCGCAAGCTAATAGATCAATGTCGATTGAGTAGGAAGCGGGGACTTACGTTGGAGTGAGGCACTTCATGTTTGTTGATTTAATAATGTGATCAAGAAACTCTTTCTCGTCTTGAATCAAAGTGTTTACAGCAACCTAGAAAATAAAAAGACCAGATTCAGTTCGAGTTATCAAAACAAAGCTTTTTAACTAAGAAGGGAAAAAATTAGGTTTAGTATTATTATACCTTGTTTTCCCATTCGAATTCTGCCCACATGGACCTGAATGCAGAATCTGAACACACAGCAGGAGAGATGTAATCCATGATATCGATGTGTATGTCATTAAGGACCACGACGTTTCGCTCCATGACATTTGAAGTCTCATAGACAATGTTTCCGAAGATGACCCCAGTCTCGGTAGAGGAAACCTTGATGTTGGCTTTTATCTTCTTCTTTGATTCTGGTGCAAGCGTGTAATTCTGAGGACGCTCGACGAGCTTTAGATCTCCCATGGTCGCCAATTCCAAACACAGATTCTGGAGGGTTTCTTTGGTACGGTTAATGACCGTGACATCAAGGACGATGTCATAGTGATGGACTGTCACATATGCTTCGGCGTAGACTGGGTCGCTGAATCCTGTGAGTTGAAGAATCCGGTTAAGCTTGTTTGCATCATTTTCGTCTTTGGTGAATTCACCGGTTGCACGTTTTAGGTCGTCTTGTACCTGGTCTTCTAACTCAAGTAGACTCATACCCTGAGAGTATATTGACGATGAGACCAACCATAAGATAATGCCATATCAGGTATATATATATATGTGTGTGAAAAGAGAAGGAACTTGGGATTTCATTACCTTTCTGCTCTTTAGATGGAAGAAATCAATGAGATCATCAGGTTGAGCATTAGATATTTGGGCCTTGGCTTTAAGTTCCTCCAGTTCTCGTAGCTGTTTCTCGGAGAGCATTTTGACAAAACTCTGGCGACAAGATTCCAACCATATCTTCTTCATCTCATCACTCGTGTGGCAGATTAATTTTATGCACAGCACAATCCTCTCGTAAGAGTCCGGATCAATTGATTGCGGAACCACATGAGACTGCCCTAGTTGCAACATAGAGACCATGATGAGTAAAGCTTGTGTCTTCGCCTTGTTAATCTCAGTTTTGGATGACTGCACTTCCTCCAACCTGAGAACAAGTTTAGTCAATGTGCAAGCAACCACTGCTCCGAGGAAAAAGTCACCAGTTAAGATAAGAGATCTTAAATTTCCAGACGCCAGTGAACCCTGAGCAACTGTTGATGGGGAGAAAATGGTCTCTGAAGCAGCGCTTTGGGTAGCGTAAGTCCCATCAGCAAGAATGGCAGGTCTTCTAGAGGAAACTATAGAAGAAGTGTTCTGCGGAGTTTTGTTTGAGGAATCATTTGACTCCAATTCCTCGGAAACAGAGTAAAACGGCATCTCACCGAGGCATTGCTTGATGGTTGCTATGCCGCTCTCAACTTCAGAGAGTGATAGACAGTATTCCCCAACAATCCAAAGCGCAAATGGGAAAACCTTTGCAGCCCGAATCTGATAAAAGGTGTCCAACAAGCGGGTTATGATTGAAACCCTCAACTTGGGATTTGATTCTATGATCTCTCTGACAAAGACAGCCACATCAAGAGCTGAAGCCACGTTGGTGTCACCCAAGAAATCCATCAAAAGATGGACCACTGCGCTTGCTACTTCAGGGAACTTGACTGCACAAGTGTGAATGGCTTGGACGAGCATCTGTCTATAATCACCATTCTTCTCAAGCTCTCCGCTTTGTGTCTTGACAACTTCTTTCTTCAGAGTTTGCACGACCTCGTTGACATTCCGAGGAGTAACCAATTCAAGGACGATATCAAGTGTCTTCCTTCGAATGTCAAGATTCGGACTAGAGAGTACTCTTAGCACATCCATGATCATCTCAACCATGATCTCCCTGTGAGAGGCTTTGAGCTCATTCAACCTGTCGAGCACAATAAGCTTCACATTGTTGTCACTCTGAGAAAGAAGAAGCTGACAGTAGGTGTTGGCAGCAGCTCTAATAGCGGTGGGAGCAGACGACAGAGAAACAAGCGTCTGAGCACATTCATAAGTAACTGCAGATGAAGGCGCATTCAACAAAGAGATAATGATCTTAATATACTTCCCTTTTTCGGACGGCTTGGTCCTACACACCTTCCTGATTAGTTCCAAAACCACCATCTGAAGCAATTCATTCCACTCGGGAACTCTGTCAACATTAGTCAGAAGATAATTCACAGCTCGGTCTTGATCGCAGTTGAAGAGCATAAGAAACGCGTTTCGCTTGGCAGAGGGGTCCTGTTCAGTCGACAGACATTTCTCAATCGTTTCAGGTGCATCGACCAAGAGCTGATCACCTTGTGGGAGTTTATATATTGACATAATAGCCAGAATCGCATTCCTGCGGACAAACGGATGGCGATGCTCCAAGTTTTGCAGCACCGACGGGATCAGAGGCTCGATAACTTCAATCTCCCTCAATCGGCTAAGGAACCGCAAGCTAACTCCACGGATGTACTCATTTGGATGCTGAAGGTTGTTCCTCAGATTCTGACATATCAATATCATTTCGGGAAGCACTTTTCCTTTGGCATCGGTTTTCTCAATCGTCTCAAGGTAAAGCAGCAACAGCTTCTGGATCGTGTGGTCCTCGGATGTCAAAACATATCTGATGATAGTGATGAAAAGCTGAGGCAGTGTTTCACCATTAAGCAAAAGCATGATTGCTTTCTTCAAGGCATCGATTTTCGCGGAGACATCGTTCCCTTCAAGAGCTTCTTTGATCTCGTTCGCCACTGCAGGGGTTCCTTTGTCATAGTGAATGAGCAACGTACATGACTTCTCCATCTTTTTCCTGTAAAAAAGTTTCCAAGTACAAAGGTAGAAGAAGATAAGCGCAGGAGCAAAATAACTAAAGCACAGATCTACAGAGAGACGGAAGCCACAAGCGCATTGAAAAATAATGAAATCTGCAAATGATTCAGGATTGAGTTGACGAATAAGATGCAAGCTACATCGGAGTTCATCAGTACCTCCCAATCTCAATTTCGATAGAATCGACTTACAAAACCGTATCAAGTATGCATTTCATCTCACGATTTCAATTGTTCAGTAATGGTGGGAAAGATCAAAGGAGATTTACAGATCCGATCCGCGAACCGAATTCAAACGAACATAATCATATCAAAAATCCGAAATCGATCACCAGGGATCCCGATCTACTCAGCAAACCAAGGCATCGGGAAAACGGTAAAACCAAAATGCATATGGAGAATTCGCGGCCGTGGAAGAGGAAATAGTGAAGAAGAAAAGAAAACAGAGGAGAGAGAGAGAGAGATTGGATTACCGGAGATGACGGCGAGAGGAAGGAGGAGATGCAGCGATGAATCGGCCGTCGGTTTCAGATTTACAGAATTGGATCTCGGGAAAACGATCGTTCAAGTGAAAAATTTAACTGTGCTGTGTGGTGGATTCATCAATTTCAGCGTATTTATATTTTCCGAACGAGCTAATAGTTTTACTTTTCTTACACTAGTCAAGTAATCACAGATTACGAATTTTAAAAAACTATTTAGGTGTTTAGGCCTCAAGCCGGCCTATTTAGGTTTGCGAGTTACTCAGCCCATAAGGTTTAGATTAAATAGGGGTTATTGATTCTTGTATTTTGATGGATTTATAAATTTTTTTTGGATTTGATAAATTTATTGATTTCAAAATCAGTAAAATAGAAAAAAATCAAATCCACTCAAATACCAAGGTTAGACCTTGTATTTGGGTCTTTGTATTTTAGTCATGAAAATCCTTCCAAATCCATTCAAATTCAATTAAAACTCAAATTCTTATAATATTTAGATTCTAAAATGATAAAACCAATAACACTATATTTCATTATGGATTTTAAAATCATAGAACTAATAACACTGTATTTCAATATAAATTTTAAAATACAAGAACCAATAACACTGAATTTGATTTGGATTCTCAAATCCATTAAAATACAAGAACCAATAACACCTCCTAATAACATGACATTAGTTTAATGGTTTTCTTGTTAACCTGGTTTGGTTTCATTCATTTCCATAAGGTTCTTTTAAGACTATTTTGTTTGACTAAAATCAATAGGATATATTTGTAATTTAAATTCATATTTTCAATTAATAAAAAGATGTTTCATTTGGTATTGCAATATGCGACAAAAGACAATCCCAATATATATTAAAAAAGTGGAAGAAATTAAATTTGATTTCTCAAAAGTTTCATTGAAGTTCAAAATATTCAGCACATACCAAATTTACATCTCCAAAACTTGACAAAAAAAACAAAAAATTTGATGACAAAAGAAAAAGAGAACATAAACTTTAATTGAAACACTGCTAGTTGCTACCAAAAGAAAACAATTGTTTATTTTCAGGGACAAAATTAGAATTAGAATCGACACAGAAAAAAGAAAACAAAAGGTTGAAATCAGAATCTAATAAGTAGTGGGTGTGGAATAATTAATCAAAACTATACCAGAAATTTAGATTTGAAAATATGTTAAAAACTAGACTAAACCGCCTCAGAGCCGTAAGGTTCAAGATTCTTCTCATCATCTTTAAGATCATTGAACCTTGACTTCTTGTCTGAAGGAGAAGAAGAAGGAGGAGAAGACGAAGCCTTAAGCGCTTGACCTCTCGTGTTAAGGTAAGTATACAACGAAGTCCCCATAATCGCCACAATCGCACCGCAAACGCTAATCGCCCCACTGTTGGACCCGAAAATGTAGAAGTTTCCAAGGAGTAGGACACAGGTCTTAAACTGTCCCAGTACCACGTGAGTAATTGCAGAAGTTGCTCTGGAACCAAGATGGACAAAACCGGACTTGAGAAACGCTGGTTCCAATATGAAAGCTTTGAACCGAAATAACAGAACCGAACCGAGCAAACGACAATAATGCACATATGAAGCTTGACTTACCCGAGAGCTAAGGCTCCAGACCATTGAAGAAAGAAACCGAGAAAAGCAGAAGAAAGAATCGCAGATGTATTTGCAAAACTCCAATCGAAGGATAAAGCGCCTGGTGGATCCAAGAACGGAATCATCGATACTAGAAACAACAGAGTGATCGGCGTCGTCTTCCACATCAACCTGTTTACCAAGAAAACAAAAAGAGTGAGACGTTACTGAGAGATGTAGTAGATACTTAGAGAATGTATCAACAGAAATTTTAAAAAGAATGTGATTCACATACGCTAAAGCAGTCCAGTTCTCTCGTTGCTGCATATTGGACCACAAGATTTTGTTGGTTGCGCTCGGTATGATCCATGCTAATGCCACACAAGCACCAAACAGACTAAACTGTAAATCTGTTACAGTCGCAACCGCAACTCCCACGGATACAACTGTTAGTGCAACCACCTGAAAAAACATCAGCCGCAAGAGGTTACTATTAGACCAAAGTTTGCTGCTGTCTTAATGGATCAATGCAAATACAATTTGAGTCCAAAGCAAATGCAGATTTCGATTGGATTAACTAACTGTTATGCTACAAAGAAAGGACAATTTTCAGTTACCTTCATGAAAGAAACTCTTTTTCTGTACCATAAGAACTCTGCAAACACAATAGAAGGCGTGACTGCGATTTTCGCCATCTGGTAGAATCCAACACTAAGAACAAAACCAAGGTAAGAAACGTAATGAGACTTTAGCTATGTACTAAAACCAGAGGAGACAAAGAGGATATTTTGCACAGACCTGTTATACTTAAGGCTAACATTAGCGAGTCCTGTAGAGAGTGACATCACAATGCCAAGAGTGTAGAGCGAGACAGACGATGATTTCGAGGAAGGCGGAGGAGCAGGAAGGAGCGAAAATGATTTGAGGAGAGCCATTAAAAGATAAGCTACAATGTAGTGAATGAAAGTGAGGAACACTGGAAACTCAAAGCCTATGTTTTTAAGCACCTGAGAAAGAAAGAAAAAGAAAATGATCACATTTTGATGAATTTCACTAATGAAGAAGATTATGAGCTTTTAGGAAAGGAGTGTGTAGTTCAAATTACCCATTTGTTCATGAAGATAATGCTGATGGCAACAAAGAAATTGAATGTGAGAGCAACAGTTGGACCACAGATACGGTGCGTCTGTTGTTGCTGCTGTCTCTTTGGAGTTTCCGGCGAACGGAATCTGTTGAATAAAGATGATCGCAAGTCCTCGAGTGCTTTTCCTGAATCATTGTTGCAAAATTAGGATATGCAGCTCAAGTCACAACAGGTTGTTCTTTCATGATTGAGAAAAAAACCTAATCTAAAAAAATTTGGGGGTTTTGTAAGAGAAAATTGGGGAATCCCAAAAGTAATAAGAGATCTTTCAAAGAAACTATAATCAAACATAACACTGTAACTGAAACAGAAGTAAAGTTAGCTTCTTATTTTCCTGAGTTACCTTTTTCACCAGCATCACTGTCTTTGCGTTTGAGAATCTTCTTCACATCTTTTCCAAGCCAAGAACTAATCATCTTAGGTGTTAATAACATTGTTTTCTTCTGTCCAAGCTTAGTTTTCAGATTCGGAACTCAAGCGCCAAGAGGAGAGAAATCAAAACTGACCCACATCGCGACTGGGGGAAACCGAGAAAAGGGTGTCTCTGTTTCGATTGTTGAGAGTTATTCGACTCTCAGATTAAGAGGTTTTTTAGAGAGAAGACGAGAAGAGACAAAAAAAAAGGGAGACAGAAAGAGAGAAACACGTGGCGGTAATAACGGGAAGATCATGAGATTGAAATTTGAGATTGAGGGCCTTCTTTCTTTTTTATTCCTGATTTGAGCAAATCACGGTTCTTCACCGACCATTAAAAAAACAGAGACGATGTCTGGACTAAAAACAAGTAGAGGAACAGGAGAGGGCTCGTAAGTAATGTGAGTAAACACGGTCTAGTCTCCCTCTTCTCTCTTCTTCCTTCACGCGTGAATTTTTTAATCTTTCTTTTTCTCCGCGTTCTCTTAATTTTTTAAACAAATTGAAATTTTATAATATGTCGACCGAATTATGAAAGAAAAAAAAAAAATTAAGAATCCGTCGACAGAAAAGCAAAGACCGACAGACTCCTTTGGCTTTTCATTTGAGTGATTTCCGCAATCCGATAATAAAACTATGACGTGGCGGCACCTGACTGAGATGCGTTATCTGTTAACAGTTATTTAACGTCCGTTGAATGTTTTGGGATCGTTATCCAGACTGAGAATAGAGTCTATCCACAACCCAGAGCTTGGACCAATCATATTGGTGTAGTTATAGGGCCTATATGCTAAAAGGCCTCAATATTTCAACATTCCCTTAAAAATGTGAAAAAAATCAACCAAAGTCTAATCTCGAGCTGACCAAAAAGATCGAAAATTTTAGATACCAGAGGACACAACGACATTAACTGTCGAGCTTTTGACAAAAGACGTACTTATTTGTGAATTTTGATATTTCTTGGTTATACAACCCAGAGTGTATACTGTATAGGGCCTATATGTTAAAAAGGCCTCGATATCACGTTCCCTTCTTTTTTTTCACATAAATTGTGTAAATATCCAATTAAAGTTTATCTCGAGTTGACAAAAAAGATAGAAAATTTTAGATATCAGAAATTTTGATATCTCAGATTAAGGAGTATTGTATATAACTTCACGCATTTTACGCATTTTCCCCGTAACACAAGTAATAAACACTCTTTTGTGAAATTTGATATTTCTTGGTTAAAATCTTCCCCATTGTAAAGATTCGAAAGGCAAATCAATCATAGTACAAAAACCCAAAATGAAAAACAAGAAATTCAAACTTGCCCGCATCGACTAAACCCGAAACTGTACTTCTGGGTTTCCGAAAAATATCAATAAATCCGTACCAAACCAAACGTTTTTTTTTTTTGTTAGTCCTAGAGCGCTTTAAAACTCACGACATGTCTAGATAAACCGGCCTCCAAATCAGAGTGAACCTGAGACAAACAAAAGAAAAATTGTTAATACTCAAAAATACCAAAACTGGTCAAAATATAAGGACAAATTAACCAAACCGATATTTTCTTAGTTTGTATAACATCAAAGATATTAATCCAATGATAAATCACTAGGCTGTAGGTCGTTACCTTCTCCAGAAGATTTTTTCTTGCCCCAGCATTTTAGTCCCGAGAGTTTGGTGCTGAGAGGAGTTTTTGACACCGGAATGAATTTCCCGACCAGAGCAAGAGGCCAACTGGTCAAAATTACAGAGATTTGAGTAAAAGCGTCAGCGATGTTTCAACAAGCATTGTATGTATATAACATGTATAAATGTAAAACAGTAAAATAATAGGAGTTACCTGATCACACCGATGCCGACGCAAATTAGCCATTGTTGCCAGTTAAGTTTCGTCGTCGAGGCAAATTTACCGAGGAACTCAACAATGATAACCTGACAAACAAAAATAAGATGTTTTGATTTAATGAGGAAGGCATAAGGGTTTATATGATGTGTAAATTACAACATGTTTTTGTGATGGATCAAATATTATTATTTACCTGGAGGACGAGAGTTATGACTATGATTCCCATGAAGAGACGATTCTTTATAATTCCTTTGAAGATGTTCTTCTCGTCTGGTTTTCGAGCATTGAACTCGTTGAAAGCCTGTTAACCAACAAATAAAATCCATAAACAAATGAGAGTTACAATCTGGTTTTCATACGGTAAAGGACGAGAGTTTGATTTCTATAAACTTACTTGGCAGAGAACAAAAGCGTTGAAGATCAAAGTGTTCTTCACTCTTATGGCGTGTTCGGGAACTTCATGCTCGAGGCCAAGCAGGCTTACTCCTCGGAAATTGAGAACCAACAATACACTCACTTGATATATGGCCTGAAAGTTTTACGTTTCAACTTGTTATTAGTATGAGGCTTGATTCCAAATGAGAGTGTGTATATTATCCATCGATTTTGTTTTTACCTGAATCAACAAGTTCCTCCACATGATGTTGGTAATAAGAGGTTCTCTGCAAGAAAGAAGTCAAAAGCAAATAAACAAACCGATAAATGCCTAATTAAGTTTAATTTGAAAAACACCAGTAGCTGAAGAAACAGTACTTTCTGCCAACGGGAGGTCTCCCCATGAGGTGATCAGTGGGTGGTTCCGTAGCCAAAGCCAATGCTCCAAGAGTGTCCATAATCAGATTAACCCAGAGAAGCTGTATGTGAAAGAAACCGCCAAATGTATGAATATATACAGTTTGAAAAAAAAGAGAAATTAGAAAAGAGCCAAATGCAACAGAAACTCAAACCTGCACAGCGGTAAGTGGAACGTCACCACTTGATATAGCAGCTACAACATTAATGACGAGAGCAGCGACATTGACGGTGAGTTGAAACTGGATGAATTTCTGAATATTGGCATAGACCGATCTACCCCAGCGAACAACCTATATGTATCAGAAGACACCCCAAAGTTAAGGTTGGAATATGAATAAATAATCAGATTCAAGATCTGGCCCCATATATAAATGGATTCAGAATAATTTTGGTGATGAAGCAGACAATGTCAAGGAATCTATGACGAGGGAAAGAAGTGAATTTGAACTAACCTTGACAACTGAAGCAAAGTTGTCATCCAAGATAATGATGTCCGAACTCTCCTTGGCCACTTCTGTTCCTGCAATTCCCATAGCAAGACCAATATCCGCCTGCAAATCCAGTCAAAAATTCCAACACTAATCAGAAAATTACAAATACTCTGAGTAAGTATAGACAAAATACTTGGAAAATAGAAACTTTCAACAGTTGTAGATTTAAACATAATCAGTTATTTAGTAATTTCTTCAATTGTTTTACCTCGTGTAATGCAGGAGCATCATTTGTCCCATCTCCGGTGACAGCAACAACATGCCCACGTCTTCTGAGAGATTGTACTAGCAGAAGCTTGTCATTGGGAGACGATCGGCCCATAACCTTCACACGTGAAGCAACCAAGTCAATTTCAGTTTAGGTTACTGCTATATATCATATTACAGTAACCAATGCATTCGTGGATAATATCTGTATTGGGTGAAGACTGAAGACAGGCCAAATCTCTACGTAGAATGAGACTAAGACATTCAAACTTAATAGCTGGAAAGCAGTGTTGTGAACAGTACCGATATTTTGTCGCAAATCTTGTCCCTTTCTGAATCGGTCATGGCACGGAATGATTTTCCTTCAATGAGAGTAGGCTCGGAGGCTTCTGCATCTGAAGTTAATATTCCACACTCCAAAGCAATAGCCCTGGCAGTTTGGACGTTGTCACCAGTAACCATACGGACCTGAACACCAACAAAAATATCATGCAGCGTAATTAGCAAACGCTGAAATTTCGGCAATAATGGGCCTTTCTGGCATTTAAAAAAAAAAAAAAATCGAACAGAATAAACACCTTGACACCAGCATTCTGACACAACTGAACTGAATCTTTGACTCCTGGTCTACATGGATCCTGTGCAGATTTCAAACTTTTCGATTAGAAACAATACCAAGAATATTGCAGGACATGACATGAAGTGTCTTGCAAAAATCTGTATCAAATACTACGTAATGTAAAGTGGAAAACTGAAAGCCATCTCTGAGGAAGAGAGCCACAACACAACCAAAAATTAAATAAACCAAATAATCCTCACCTTTATGCCTACTATAGCGAGTAAAATAAGGTCATCATCTGGCATTGCCCACTTTGAGAGTTCCTCCTCGCCCTTTGGGACCCTTTCAGCCTCATAGGTTCTAAAGGCCAGTGCGACACATCGTAAGGTTCTTCCAGCCATCTCTTCAATACCATTTCTGAAATACAATGCCTGACAACATTGGGCAAAGTGTCATTAAAAATCAAAAGGGTAATCGAAGAATCATACAGATACGTCTAATTTTAGAGGGTTAATAAAGTTGGACATTTCACATACCTTGTCTTCAGTCATTGGTGCCACATTACCATCCAAATCAATGTAGCTCGTGCACGATGCCAAGACAATTTCAGAAGCTCCTTTCCAGTGAACATGAACTTCACCATCAGCCTGAAAAGTAATATCGGAACAGGAAAAGTCAAATAAAGAAACTGAACTGTGCTTATAGAGAACTCAGAAAGCCAAATCACTTTTAACTGCACCGATATTATTTTGACTATATTAGTTGACCTGCAGACTTTTTCTTTTTCAAGGAACCTTACAAAAATAGAGTACAAAAATTCTAAGACAAGAAAAGAATCACGAAAAGTAATATTATCCCCCATAAACTCTCATAGTATCTATATTTTTAGCAGCAGAGGTTACCGTTTTTACAGCGACGCCACCACGTTTTTTCTCTGAGTTAAACGGAAAAGCATGAAGAATAGAAGACTGCGACCTGACTGTCTCGAAATTCATTCCCAGCTGAAAGAGAGAGAGAGAGACAGAACATACAAGTCACTCTTCAACTCATAAGTATAAAACTCTGTTTGAACTAGAAAACAATAAAAACTTAAGAAATATACCTTAAGTCCCCAACCAAGAATGGCTTTTTCTGTTGGTGAACCCGATAACTCTAATTCACCGCCGCCCTGTCAGAAAATAGGATCTCATGAGTCTTGTCTTCTCTAACAAG